TGCCATATGGCCCTCTGCTTATGTTACCGCCAATAAGCTGAAAAGTTTTTTTTTTTTTTTCGTCTATCCTTGTAAACAGGACAAACCATAAGACGTAGCCATGTTTCTTTGGCTGTCTCTGGTTTGGGCACAGATGCTGATCTCAGGTAAGATATATTTTGCTATTTTGTACAAAATATGTGTCAGGCCTGCAGCTTTTTGTATTATCTTGTTGGTGATCAAACTAATCCAAGATAACCAATGACCATAATGTCATGTCCTAGGTTCTATAAGACCTTTATTTATTTATTTATTTTTTTAGATTCCAGCTGTGTGTGTGCTTAAAATAGACCACTGGGTCTGACTGGCCATTGATGATTGATTTCTGCATCATGATATTTTCCCCCTGCCAAAACAGTTCAGTCAGTCACCACTAGATTAGTTTAATCAGTTTTGCTATTACACATGCTTTCATTTTCTAAATAATATGTGTTCGTTTTCAGACAAAAATCCTAATTCCATCAGAAACTATGCATAAACCTACACTATTAGGTCTTTGAGCTGTCAAATTGTATTTTATCTCACCATTTACAAACCCTGACTCTAGCACAGTTTACACTGAGAAAATACTGGAAAGGCGGCGTCCAATCAGAGCTGCAGCCATGCTGTTCATGACAACGGGACGCTGTCACTAGGGAGAACAAACGCCAAGGAGACTGATGCTGTGTCAGCCCCAGAGCCATACTAAACATACACTATGAGCCGTGTTGTACCACTGCAGGCCTCAGCTCAGCATAGAAGTCACCTGTGAACTAAGTGAAATAAGTAAATTGTGGGGTTATGCAATTAATCAAATCTGAATCAATTACAGGTTGAGATATAGTCATTTCTAAGTAAGATGTTTCGGACCTTAATTTCCACATCTCTGTCATTTATATTTTCTCTGCCTTATGAATGAATTATGTTTATTATGACAGTTGGATGATTTGAGCTTTAGTGCAGTGTGCTCTTCACACCCTACTGTTCTGATTTGTTGGACATATTACTGTTATAGGCTTTTTTATGCTCCTGTGGTGCATGAGATTCCAAAAGCAGATTTTCTTTCTCTTCATAAACTATGCTTTACAAAGCTCTCTTTTTCATTCATGATTTTGGAACTAAATATTTGCAAAATATTTGATTAGCCTAAATACAGTGATGGACTATTTGAAAAAAATTTGTTTTTTATATATCATTTTAACTTTTACTTTTACAGTCTTTAAGATTATTTATAAACTTTTCTGTTTATTTGTTTGCTATTATTTCTTTTGTTTTTTTCTCTTTTAAAGAATCCTCTTCTGGTGATCAGGAGTTGCGCCTCTTTCCTCTTCCAAAACTCTTACACCCACACCTGCATCCTCACGCACACCTGCATCCTCACTACAATGTGGACAAGAACCAAGACCAAACCCAACAGCGCCACCATGAGGCCAGGGTAGCTAAGGGACGACCAGAGGCCTTTTTGAAGTCCAGGTTTCGTCCGGAGCATGGACAGTGGGGTGTAAACCTGCTGGCCCGACCACACCATGATGTAGTTCCAGAGCATATTGAGGTGTCTGCACAACACTTGGTCACTGTGGTGAGTAACATGATTAGTGTAAATATAACTCAATTAGAATAACTTGAATACATGGCGTGTGTAACGAAGCAAAGGTTGGATTTTTAATTACTTTGTATTTTTCATTATTTCAATTTACTAAGGTGGTAGCTGTTTCCATCTTTTTTGTCTCATGCATTCCTTATTGAGCCACCTTGTACCCCCCTAACTCGGGCAAATAATTTTTATTATAGTTGTATTTCTTCATAATGATATAGAGTGTGGGATCGTGTCACACATTGTGGAATTTCCATTTAATCTAATGTGAAACGTGAGATGCTAAATACTACTGCTACTGCTAATACTGCTTAAAACTACTTTGTTCATTTAATCATGCAAAATGTTGGTTTTTTTTTTAAACTTTACTTTGAGTTAATCCTTGTTTAGAACTACTCAAGTCATTCTATTGCGGTAGTTTAGTTTTAGTTTGAAAACCACTGCCCACCAAGGTTTTCATTACCAGACATTATCATTGGTGAGAACATTTCCTTTATTCATTAACAGCATTCACAGTAATTTAGGAAAAGGAACAAATATTACTGGATGTTACTCTGTGCTGCATTTTAAATGATAATGGTTATGTATGATCATTTGCTATTTTTTGCTGAAATCTCATTTGATCTCATTTTGATGCAGACCAATGCTGTAATTTACCATGTGATAAAGGAGGGTTACACAGTCCTTCACAAAGGCAGCTAAAGTGGAGGTCAAATTAAATGGACAGTGAGTGATAGACTAGGTGTTTTTGGTTCATCTGCTGTTTCAGAGGAGAGAGACTCTGCTCTTAGTTGCTATGGTTACGCTAATAATCAGTGTGCGAGAGACCCACTTGCCTCAACAATAGGGTTTAGACAAACAGCATTGACCTTCACAATGACTTTGGGCTACATTTGAGAGGACGGATGTAGGCAATACAACACAGTTAACTATAATTGAAATGCAGATAAGGCAATTGTAAAGACATTTATAGCTTCTGATGAATAATCTTGGTGTCATTGTAGGTAGCTTTAAAACAGTTATAGTAGTTTTGTCAATTTGTGTTCTGTATCTAAAGATAGACCTGTTACCATTTGGAAACTTGATATATTGCAAAAAAATATAAAGAAAAACTATTATATTGAAACTACTCAGTTCTACTTAAATATGCAGGATAATACTAGTGAATCATTATTTAAGTATACAGTATTATTTAAAGGTCTGACCTGCAACAAATGAATCGCAGAATGAAGAAATAATTGGCCTTAGTCACTTACGCAACCCTCTATCTGTCAAATCTTGTTGTATTACAAAAAAGTACACTTGACAAATATTGAGCCCCAAAATATATTGTTTCAACTTTCATATTGAAAGATAAGTTGATGGTAATTCTCGTGACAGACCGATTTAAGGATGTGTAACAAAGGCTCGTCTAGACTCATCTCTTGTTTTGGGTGAATAATGGATGGCGCTGTTAGCAGTTGCCTGTCTCACGGTGCCAGCCACATCACAGATGCATTGTGGGAGTGAGGACAATCTGCTTAAACCTTGTGCAATAACTGAAATTCACAGGATGCTTTTTCTATGTTGTATTATTTCCTTTTGTTTGCATGTGTATATTTTCCTGTGCCTGGTTTAATTACTGTGTTTATGAATGGGAAAAACAGTGAGGGGGATGCTCTCTTACACTTTCTTACATAACCCCAATTCATATTAGGGTTAAGTGAATTTCCTGTGCCTGATCACATGGACCCTCCCTTCATACTCACAGCTTATCACAATTATGAGCAAGTCACTGAGGAATAGGTGATATTGTGACAGTATTTACTTTAGTAAATTTTAGCATTTCTTATAGGTTCATTGGTGGGAAAATTCAAATCTTGGCCTAAGCATTATTCATTTGCTGATTATCTGCATAGTATGTCCAAATGCTTTCAATTCCAATCTATAGGTAATTGCAGTGTTATTACTAAATGCCTTTGGTGCTTTTTGTTTTCATTTTAATTGTGTATTATTCAACGTAGGCTATATTCATCATGAGATATACACAGCAGGTCTTTCTCTTCTTTTATTCTTTTCTCTCAAAGAAACCACACAAGCGTTAACAATGCAAACCTTATGTCAACCCGCATCATTTTTGTGTCTCACTCAGTGCTGCACGTGCGACTCACGTTTTTCCTGTCGGCAAAATAACATGCATGAACACAAGGCATGCATGTTATTACTAATATTCATATTCCGTGGTCAGTGATGTTGTTAGATTAGCAACAGTGTAGTGTTGCCCAGAGTACTGAAAATCAGTTACTAATTTATACTCAAACTTGTATCGAAACTAGATTCTGATTTGAACAAGTATCTATCATTTTAAAAGGATACATTTACAGGACAAAAATCAACCTTTTCTGAACAGCTTTAGGATTATCTTGAGCTTTATCAGAACTAGTATAAAACCGTATATACCTGGACAATAGAGGGATTACACAGATATGAGAAAGATAAAAGATAATGTAAAAGAAAGTATTATTTAATGTTGAAAATGTTTAATCTACATTAAATCTGCTTCTTTTTTTTTTTTTTAGCATTAATAGCATTATTATTAGCAGCAATATTTAGCATTCATTATATATTTTAGATGGAAAGTGTACATATCTTCAAAACACCATTCACAATATTATTAATATTATGAAGGGTGATTGATTATTGATAATCTACTCACCTAATAGTTAATAGTAAACAAACTGACATCTCTGAAGACAATACTTGTGCCTCACTTTTGGATGCATTGACCTAGTCGACTCATCCAGGTTTAGTCCTTTTCTAGTCTGGGTTGAGTTTAAATTAAGTCTAGATTTTGGTGTGTGTGTTGAAGATTATTTTGTTTGTTAAATGTTGCTCCTCTTTTTATGGTTCTCTCTTTAACTGTATTTGATTGGTGCAAATCGGATTCCCCCTCCCTCCCACTACTGCCTTGAGGGCTATCAGCTAATTAGTGGTCATTACTGTGTGTGTGTGTGTGTCCAACAGAAATAGCACCTGATCCTGACAGAAAGCACTGCACCATAATGGTTTTACCTGGTTGGCGGCCAATCAGGTAGCAGGCTGAGATTTGTGCTGCTATAAGCCAATCACACATCACAGAGCAACTAGATCAGGAAATGGAGCAAAAAGCCCCTCCGCTCTGGCAGACAGGCAGTCCACTGTCTCTCTGCCTCTGACTGGGTTTAAGCCGACACAATCAACAATGTGTCCATGTTTACCAGGTAAGGGCATCTTATTTCTAGGTTATACAAGAAGGGACCAACTGCCTGCATCTTCCAGCTATTACAGGCTATTTTGTGCCACACTCTGTTTAAGATGCAGGTCTTTGATCACTAAATTGGGATTGAGTTGGAAAAACGTAATTGAAATAGATGAAGGTTGAAATTCATTGTTGTTTATCATTTGAGATTAAATGCTGCTAAACACTGTTGTTATAAAGGGTCATATTAATAATATAATATAAATGCCTCACATGAATTTGATAATTTCTCCATTTTCAACTTTGTACTGTTAAATGTGTAAATTTCCTTTTTGTTCCTTTATTTTGACTTGTAATTAATGCATTTCTACTTATGCCAAAATCTGTTATTATATTATACATTATTATATTATATATTATATTATATTTGGACCAGCCAAAACCAGATCCAAATGCATAATAGCATCGTGTGTGTGGTGGGTCTGTCTATCTGTAGTTATTGTTCCTCATATTGAATTAAGTGGCAACAGAACATGTTGTTTTAGCCATTAGCGATCAGCCGCCTACACGTGGGCAAACATGGATGAGTATAGGGGTTGTTTTGTTCCAGACAGATTTAATAGAAAAACAAACCATTTAAAGTCATTGGAGGGGTTCAATTATGGACAAAAAACAATGCCTGCATGTGTGTGTATTATGACTTGGTTTAAGGGATGAACTCTGACCTTTTGTATAACTATAAGTAATTCGCTGTTTTCTTTGTAGAACATAAGATGCTGCTGTAAATAATTACTTTTTAATGAAGATTCATCTCTAACTGTCAGTATTATGCAGGAGTCCTTTTGATAGAGACGTCTACAGCCAATAATCAAGCAGCAAAAGCATGTGGTTTGGAGCTGAGTTCTGACTTTGGAAGAAATGTTTACGGTTCTTCTGCCTTTATATGTTTAGGAAAATAATACTAAAAATAATTTTTACAAGTTAATGAAATAGTTAACAGACAGTCAAATCAAACTGAAAATTGTGATATAAAGAAAGAACTTGTGGTAAACATTTTATCCAGCTTTACCATTTTATGACCACCTCTTTGTAAATTCTGAGGGTGTGTGGGTTGATATGGATTTTCTTTGTAGTAGTAGCTCTTACAGGTGCCAAATATGAGTAGATAAAGCAGGCTGTAGATCTGAAGCAGAAGTGAAATAAAAGTAACAGCTCATCAGGAATAATCTGAGGCCTTGATGAGGATGATTCACTAGTGTGTTTCCAGGTGCAAAAAATATTAAATAACTAAACTAAACTAAAAATGTGTTTCATTTTGCATTCCATTTTGGTTGGGTTTATTGCACTGAAAAACCTTAAAAAAAAACATGCATCTTTATTCATAGTGAGCTAGGCAAAAATGTTAATCTTTGGCTATAATCTTCTACAGTATGGTATAAAATAAAACGTGTCTATTAATATGTGGAGAATAAATATCTGCACACAGTACAAGAAAGAATTGAACAGAATTATACGAAATGTATATAACTGTAAATAGTAGTAATCTTTTGGTGTAATGTTTTCTGTCTTCTCTTGGTAGTACTTGGCTGTGGACGTGCGGAGGCTGAACATCAGTCTTCTTCGCTGGTTTCGGGAAGGAGTTGCAGCTGCTTTGGGTGTTCCTGTCAGAGATGTACACATCAACCGCCTCAATGTAAGAAGCACAATGGTCTGGTTGTAATGTTTTATTGTTATGGTCTGACTCCTCTTTAATCAACTTAAGTGGGTGTAATTTACAGGAAGAGAAGAATGGCATCGAGCTTTTCGTCTCCTCTCATAGGCTGGGGATCTTGGAGCCCCGTCCAGCTGAAGAAGTCATCCAGTCACTGAACATCAGGGTTCTCCACCACCACCTGGGGCACTTTGGTATCACCGAGGTTTCTACAGAGGTGTGTGTGAGAATAGTGTGGCCGCCCAAACAGGAGCAGAGGATAGACAGAAGCTATTAGAGAGCAAAGTGCACTGTTAAAACTTTAATGGGAAGGTTAAAGATACATCCATCAGCCCGAGGAAGCACACAGACGCTTTACACATTTGGATAAATTAAATTACTTCCACTTCCTCACACGATAAATGTTACAGTTTCTCCTGTAATAAAGTTATAGTTACAAATCACAAACTCTTAAAGTGTCAGTAAAGATGTACTGAGGAGACCCTACGCACACCACACAATAACTCATCACTTTTAATATTTCATTTTTAAGTCTTCAAACTTTACACATAATATTGTGTCTGCGCAAAGACCCAAGGTGATGCAGACAACCAGGCTGATTAAAAAGTATAAATTTGCAACTTCTGATCTGCACAATTTTGTGTGCAGTTTGTATGTATTTACTTGTAAGTGTTTACTTTTTCATTCTTAAAGGTAATTTAATTGTTTAAAAAATATTATGGAAAATCCTTGTTCATGTATCTCTATGTAGTTTGATTATTGTAATTTTCTTTTGTTATCTGTTACAGCATAAAATAAGGTTAATACAAAAAGTAATAGTAGTTTTTCCTTTACTCTATCCCCTATTTCAATGCCAGTGCCAAATGAGTATTTTTTTTTACATTTGAACAATATATTTTTATGGAGTTTAACAGGTTGTCTCTCTCTGTTTGCAGAAAAACGTTCTCCAGGGCCAGCAGAGGGATCCCGTGTGGAGCAGAGACGGCTTCTATGCAGTCTTTCTCTTCTTCACCATCTTTGTTATTGTCATCACATGCTTAATGGTACTACTCACTTTTATCACATCGTACACAAGAATGTAAATTTTCTATTATATATTTGGTCTAATTTGTATTTGGTTTAATTTGGTATAAAGGATGTCAGCATTTGCCCTTTTGACATTATTTGCCACCTGGCTAAACCTTTTCACCTCACCTGCCCTGATTGGCTAAGACCCTGAGAGGTCATTAGAGTATTTGCATCTTTGGTCAATGGCCAGTGTGTCTCAACACACAGTTTAGTCTTTCTTCACTATTTATCATTCATGATGATTTATTTACTTTAGTTTAACGGAGGAAATCACTAAAACTATGAAGATTACAGTGCAGAATATAGTGTATTTAAACCTACAAACGCATGTTAAATATTTCATAATTTTGTCCACTAGAGGGAGCACGTGTACTTAAAAAAAAAACAACACATTTTTGGTCTAGAGTGACTTCTACCGGCATAATGGATGTTGTCAACATAATACAGATTAACTTAAACTCAATTGTAACTGCTTATTAATTACAGTTGGCCACATCCAAAATTAGCACTGTTGTTAGCCTAAAAGTTTTTCATTGTGTGTTTTGGGAATTTAGGTTTTATACCGACTCAAAGAGAAAGTCCAAATTTCTCAAAGACAGGTGAAAGCTCCCCCTGACTACAGGCCAAAAGTCTGTGATCCCACAGGCTCATCTCAGAGCCCAACCAACGTCACCAAGGTCAGTTTTGACACCACAATCAGTTTATATTCTTATTTATGTAGGCTACTTCAAACCGCACAGCGCTTCATTCTATAATTCCTGTGAACATGTAGGCTGTGACTGCCAGAAGCATGGTCCAGGCTGAGCTACCTCCTTCTATAGCCACGCCCATTCCCCAGCAGCAGCCAATCACAGCTTGTCGTCTTGTGCCTCCTGTCATTCCTATACCAAGGTAATCGAACCTAGATTAATAATCACAATATAACCAATGAACAACTATTGATATTCTTCTTTTTTAGCCCCACACCTGCAGTAGTGAAAAGTTTGGACCCCACTCCCTTGAGCACCCCGGCATCTTCAAACGAGTTAAAGCCTTGTCCCTCCCCTTTCAGAATGAAACCTGCTGCAGGACTTCAAGAGAGGTCAGTTTTCATAAAAAAAAAAAAAAAAAAAAACAGACAAAAGACAAAGTTACTGTTTGAAAAAATAGAATTTACATTCATTAATCTACCATAACCAAGTGTGATTTAGGGAGAAACACATTATTTCTGAGAAAATTGCGCGAATTGTTTTACTTATTATGTAAGTATGCACACAAAGTGTTTGTTTACGTCTTGTTTGCTCCGCACTTGCAGTGTGAGGAATACTGTAGACCTTAGTGACAATGAGAAAGGCTTTGAGCAGAGGTATGCAAGATATCAACACTTTGACTTTACATGGAGGAAGTCGAGTACAGAACAGTGTGTGTTATGATGAATCTTAAACCATCGATCAAAGCTGCTGCATGTGTCCTTGGGTCAATGTTTATACAGTATATGAACAGAGACACACTTCCTCAGGTCAGTGTCTGGAAATATAAGAACGAAAATGTTCCCAAGATAAGTACTGCTGCTGCTGCACTTCAAGGACCTCTTCCATGTTTATGAATTTTGGAGCCAGCTTCCTTCAATTCATAGTAACTACAAATCACAACTATAAGATGTTTAGAGAGCAGCATCAGTTCATAGGATGAATGTTTCCTTAAGTCTAATTTGACCACCTATAATTTAAGGTCATTTTTGGAATTACCTATATAGGACTTGGCTCAGTGACCCAGTCACCTGCATTTCCTAGGATTTGTTGGAAACATAAATTAATCAATAATGTTGATTTATCCTGAGCACATTAATTTATAAATTTCTGCACAATACCTGAGTGGTTATTATTATTTTCTAAAGTAGACGTAACAAAAGGCTCAAGTCAGAATACTTATCCATGGTTCATTTCCCTTTAAAGGGGTTTCGTAACATAAAATAACATCTGTCTCCAAGTTCAGAGAGCTCAGGTTTTTATCAGAGGCCTCTAACTCTTCCGCTAACTCTAGATTCAGCCAATTTCTCCAGGTTACATCAGCATTAATCTAGAGGCCAATGTGTCTTAAAGTTAGAAAAGGAAGGAAGATTTCAGGCTCGATGTGAGAACAGGATGTTTTTCAGGGCGTCTGTGTGTGTGCGTGTGCTCTGTCCACTCTGGATGGCAGCCAATCAGCAATTAGATATTTAGGAAAAGCATCATCCTACGGAGGAAACCAGTGGACACGTACAAGACAAAAGCACACTCCACACACCACATTTACACACCTCTGCTTGTCCTCTTTTTGCTTCTTTATGCCCCACAACAACAAGGATTTTTTAGGGTGTAAAATAATATTGCTTTTTATAATTTTGGTCCATGGCAGGGCTCTGTAGACAAACTCCATGAAGTAGAGTTGAGTATTTTTGACAAATTTGAGTTTATTTTTGGGTTGACTGATTTTAATATATATTTGTAAATAGCTTGAAATGTTACATCAGAAATTCCTCATCCTACATTTTCCCATTTCAGGCGTGGTTCCAATGTGTCTTTAGTGTTGGATATGTCAGCTCTGGGTGCAGTTGAGCCCCTAAATGTTACCGTGGTGACACCCCGGGAGGCTGCATCAAAAGAGTACCTACTGTCGGCTGGTCGTCCACTGACACGCCAAGAGCTTCGCGAAATCATCAATAACACACACAAGCTACACGCTGAATTTGCTGTAAGTTCATTTATATACGGTACATACAAAGTACACTCTGTAACTTTTCTGTGGTATTAACTATCTTGCATTCATTCTATTATAGATATTTTAATTCCTTAAAAAGAACTGAAAATAAATAAATAATTCTTACTGTGAGCAGGGTCATGTCACCACTCTCCACAGATCTAACCTGTAAGAGGGTCTGGTGGCATCTTCTGCTTGGCTCCATGGAGATAGAAACTTTTAATGCCATTTTGTGGAAAATTCTAGGCAAAGCATTAGCTTCTCCATGGTGATTAACAGATGGCAGACCCTGCCCCCTAGTCCTCTCATTTATCTGCAAAGCAGTAAGGCAAAGCTAAAATATAGCTCATTTGAACATCTCTTAACCTTTGGTATATTTGAGCTGCTTGGCTTTTATATGATATTTTAAATTTTATTTTATTTTGCTTTTCAGGAAATTCCGATGAACTTTATAGATCCTAAAGAACTAGATATTCCAAACAATGGGACAAAAAACAGATACAAGACCATCCTACCAAGTGAGTAATTTTGCTTCATACTGTAGAATTGGACAGGGTATGTACAAGTGGAGAGTTGGCTCTTGAAAACTCAATTTGTACAGAAAATACTCTATTATACCTGTACAGTTACAGTACGTGTGAATAGGTTAGTATTTGACAGTACTATACTACTATACTACTATACTATACTAGTACTACATAATAGATATTATGTAACACTAAGAGTTGGAGATTGTTGAATCCTTCTGTTTTGAAGTGTGGGCGGTATTATCCAACTTTTGAGATGGGGCGTGGAGCGCTTCCTTCCTTCCGCCCAATCAGGATCCTCGGAATGCTCTCCTACAGCTGCTGTCAATCAAAATCCATCGTGTGTGCTCTAAATCAAGCATATATAGGTTGAAAATGTTACAAAAGATGAAAAAAAAAAAAACAATATATACATGAAACACCAGTGCACTGTAATAGTGTAAATTAAATAAATTTTCTTCATCCTCATTTTAATCTCAAACATAACGTTTTCTCACAACTTTTTTATGTATTCCCTTTATATGTTCAGATCCTCATTCTAGAGTTATTTTGAAGTCCAAAAATTGCAATGACTTGCTGGGGTCCTACATCAATGCTAACTACATACGGGTGAGTACATTTATCTTCTCCATCTAATGTAAAACTAATATATTAAACGTAAAACAAGCTGCTGTGTTGTCAGTTTCTCACTTCAGAAGTTATTAAGTCACTCAGTGAAAGTATTGTCCTGTAGAAGTTTGTCGGTCTCAGACTATACAATATAATAATACAATAGTCTTTCTTCCTGTCAGGAAGCTGCACTGAAGCAGTTCAGAGCTCTTATGGGCCTCAGACAAACCACAGTTTCTACCCAGAATCAAACCTGTTAATGTTTCCGTTATGACTTTAAATTAACATGTGTGTTCTATGGCCCAAAAGTGTCAAACTAAATCAGATTTTAATCAATTCATGTTTTTGTCTAATGTAAACTACTGTTATAATAGCTGTGTCCCAATTCGAGGGCTGCAGCCTTCAAAGGCCAGGTCCTTCGAAGGCTGCGAAGGCTGCAGCCCTTGAATTGGGATACAGCTAATGACATGTGTACTGTTTTAATTTCAGGGTTACCTTGGCAACGAGAGGGCATACATTGCAACACAGGGTCCAATGGTGAACACTGTGAATGACTTTTGGCAGATGGCCTGGCAGGAAGAGTCTCCTGTTATTGTCATGATCACCAAACTGAAAGAGAAAAACGAGGTATTATAACATTTCTTCTGTCCTTGTGTTAATCCTGAGCACAGTTATGTAACACTATATTATTGTGTTAAATCATATTTGTGCAGAAGTGTGTTCTGTACTGGCCTGAGAAGAGGGGCATCTATGGAAGGGTCGAGGTTTTGGTGAACAGCACCAGAGAGAGTGAACACTACACCACCCGCAGCCTCACACTGAAGGTTGTTGATTTCTGTTGTAAAAAAAAAAAAAAAAAAAAAAAAAGAGGTGTAGAGGCACTGAGATTGTTCTGTTTCCTTTAATGATGTTACAGCATGGATTCACAGCATCAGGCTGTCACAAGCAAAAAATATCAGAGAGTCTATAAGCGTGTAGTAGAGAGTTTCTGAGAGTCTAACCAAAGATTTAGTATTATCCATCTATAAATGCTAAAATCTTTAGCTGATTTATAGCAGAGTTTTACCCTGAGAATCTTTTGCAGCTTGTATGATAAATCAAAGTAGCAAGCACTATCAAAGGTTGCTGAGTGGAACATTTTGTACTTGTACTAACTGCAGCACACATTAAGTATGAAATTAATACAATGAGATTATTGTTCACAAGGCGCTGGCAGGTCACTGTATTTTTTTACCTGCTTCCAGTTAGAAAATGTATATAATCAAAAGTGCATCAAATTTGTTTGTGAACAGTGTGGAAACCAAACACGCATAGTTCAGCATTACTGGTACACCTCATGGCCGGACCACAAAACTCCAGACTCGGCGATGCCACTGTTGGAGCTCATGACAGATGTTGAGGCAGAGAGGAGGTCCGCTGCCTCCATGGGGCCAGTCATTGTCCACTGCAGGTAGAAACTGCACATATAAACTATACATACACAGTATGTCAGTAGTTGTATGAACTTAAAGGGCCCATATTACACTATTTTCTGATCTATGTTATAATGTTTCATCCTCAAAAACATACCTGAGTTTTGTTTCATTCACACATGCTTAACACAAAAATTCTGCATATTTAGGCTGTGTTCTTCTCTCAGACTGTTCTACCTTGTGGTGTGGTAATAGTGCACTACTATGTTTTTAAACTCCATACACCTTCACTAGAATCGGGTGATTTCTGCCCATATCTACTTAACTAAAGGTTAAAGGTAGCTGTAACTTGAAAACTATCACTACATGACATCACAAGGTGGAGTATTTTGATCTTACTCAAACATGTGTGAATGAAACAAAACACAAATCCAGGTATGTTTTTGGTAAGGTAACAGCATTATAACATGTCTTAAAGCCCAGAAGAAGCCATTTTGTGAAATATAGGATGTTTAATTGTTTTTCTTTCTTGCAGTGCTGGTCTTGGTCGGACGGGCTGCTTCATTGCTACAACAATAGGCTGTAGACAGTTACAGTTGGAGGGTGTCGTTGATGTGTTGAGCATCACCTGCCAGCTCAGAGCAGACAGGTAACCTACTGCAAATAAATAATAATACACTTGTAGACAGGGCAGTAGATAGTTCCAGACCCCAGGGTCTTAGGTGCCCAGAATAGGATTCTCTTCATATCAATTTATATTAGAAAATTTTTGTTGACGAGCCAGCTTGTAGATATAATGTCATTTATTTATGTTATGGTTTAAACTTGTTATTGTCTTTACAGGGGAGGGATGATTCAGACAGGAGAGCAGTACGAGTTTGTCCATCACGCCTTAAGCTTGTTTGAAGCCCAACTCTCCACTGAAACTGGACCCTGAAATGTAGATCCACACTGGACTTTACCAGGAGGTGTTTTTCTGTGTTTATAAAGGAAGTAATGGCAGATATGTGGATGTAATATGGGACTAAGGACGGGTGGGTGATCCACAGTGGAGTGAGCTGGACCAACATTTTGGCAAAGCTTTAAAAGAGAGACATCAATATGAAATGTTTTTTTCTGTTTTTGCTCTCTATGAAGTAATACAGCAAAATGAGAGGCTGTGGGTGTTTTGTTATAATGTTAACTCAATGGTGGTTCAATATTCACTAACAATATTGTCTGTCTCTGTCTCATAGGATATAGGGTATTGTTGCCTCAAGGATAACCATTAGACTGTTAGTATAGATTTTTAACTAGTCTCCCCTACCCTTTTAGGACTACATCAGATTTTCAATATTGTCTGTACAAAAATCATAAAAATGTCCCAATTAGTACTCCTATTGTAAATAAGGACTTATGGGTACTTCAATGTTATGTTCTGAGACTATTCTTTACATTGATCTGCATTACAGAGCTGTTTACAGGTATTTCAAAAAATGTTGATTGTTCTCTATAAGCTATGTGACACAAAATACTGGTACTAGTACTAAGCTGCATCCTCTCAGGTTTACTACCTCAACAGAGGGCAGCAGAAATCCTATTGATTTGAGTCAACAAGATGTCCCAGCATCAAAAGAGCCATAAAGTGATTTTTAGATCACCAATGTTGAACCATTGCTTATTTGTTTTCTGTATAATATAAATGGACTGAGGTTAGAGTACTTCTATCTCATGATTACAGTGGTTGTTCAAATATCTTATATATAGAGCAATAGGTTTGATTAAGAGGGTTTGTGTTTTGTGGTTGCAATCACATTCCACAAAGCAAATATTTTTAACTGAAAAAGCAGCCTTAGAAATGGTAAAATGGTGCTTAAAAGAGCACTTTGATAAAGTCAGTTGCAGTTGCCTATGACAAGATAAAGTAATGGATAGTAGTCCTTTTCGGCAGATGTGTTTCTATTTCTGTTGCATTGACAATTGTTTATTATATTGCTTCATACCAAAAATGTTAAATGATTTCTGTCACAATGGTGGTGAAGTGGTACATTGTATGTTTTAGTGAGTAAAAATCTTATTTTTATACAGTTTTTGTAACATATATAAAAATTTATTTTAGCACCTTTGCACCACTTGAAATGGTCAAAATAGAGGAATGTTCACATTGAGATACTAAATATAAAAACTCAATCTGCTTTAAAGTAACAAAATTGCAAACCATTATCTAGAGCCATATTCTTGTTTAGAAAATTGGAAAATGGTCAATTTGGCATTGTGTAAAGTAGATAATCAAGTGAATATTTTTATAGTAAAAAGAATCTTTTTTGGACTGAACTTTCAATATAACGCCAGTGTTGAAGAACATCACCGGTATAAAACAAAACCATGGAGTCAAAATTGGAGTCAGAACATTGCCTTGGACTATTTTTCCTACTGGGTAGACTTGGTCATGTGACTCTAAGGTCATCAACATGTGCAGGTTTATTTCTGAAAACCTGTATAAGTTGACAGTAGTTTAAAATGCTCCATTTCATAAAATACTGTTCTTTCATATGAGGACAGACAGTGAAGCCACCTTCATGCCCTCAGCAGCTGCGAGGATCACAACACACTGCCTCTGACGTAGAATTGTGAATTTACAGTAGCTCGTGGTTCACACTGTATTTAATCACTGTTTGACTGTTGAAAGAGTTTAAAGGGATGCGCTAACTTTTTTTGATATGTCAGTAAACACAGTGAAATTAATTTAGCTTAAATGCTACTATGAATAATAATACCTTTGAATGACATACATTCAAAGTTACATGTCAAATCTGGGCATCCCTTTAAACTTCTTTAATTTGGGCATTAGCTCAGTCAGGGTACGCCTAAAGCCAGTGTACTCTGTGGTTTCAATGTACTCAGATGAATGTTGTTATTGTTCAAGCTGTAACTTGTGTATCTTCATTTACGCGAACTACCTGTAATATAAAATAAAACAACGGGAGCTCTGAATTGTTTTCCATTCATTTCTGCACTAAACTATGATACAAGGTTCCATACAAGTGTTTGTGAGTGAGAAATGAGAGAGGATGAAGGAAAAGGGCATGTACTGAAAACTAAAAGAAACTGGCATAAAATATCAAATTGTTCCTGGAACTATAGATAAGATGTTGAGTTACTGTAACACATAGATATAACACATACATAGTGTCACAGCATCCCAACAGAAATGTAAAAGATTCTCAATGCAAGATTGTTGTGTATAGTTAAAATGTTCTCTTATTGTTCACTAACTTAAGTTAAACATGCACAGTACCTTGCTTGGGGGAAAGACTCATGACTCTTGACACGACTTCAGATGGAAATGACTTATGTGCCTGGTCAAGCAGAAGTATACAGCAAGGCCAAAAATTAATGTTAATGCATCTGATATAAAAATGTATTCAACAGATAGCATATGTACTCTAGTTTATGAAACTGTTTACCTTTTTTCTGTACCATTTTTGGTTCTAAAGTTACATACATTTTAAACAGACCATGTATGCAACATGGAACAAAAATTATTTCCCAAATTTTAAAGACCTGCAAATCATGTAAATAAATGGATGTATTTCATCATATCTTGTGTTATTCGATCTTTGAACTGTTGATGAAGGTACATGATTTATTTATTTTTTTTATGTATTTAAAATGATAAAAAATTGCTTGGAAGGACTGACATATTTTATAGAAATAGTTACCTTTCATTTTGAAATAATATTAAAGAAAAAAAAAGCTGACAAATTATGCAGTCATGCACCTTCTACTTGCTTGCACAATTTTCTCTCTGTTACTTTTCCCTCCGTTACCATGACCTTTCTTAATAAAAAATCTCATTAGGTTTTTCAACCTAATCTTGTACCATATGGTAGAAAACTATATGAAGCAAATATTCAAACCAGTTTGTTAAGGATATGTAAGTGACAACCGGTAGTTATCGCTGTTTGTATTTATTGCCCAAAAAGTATTGCATATTTCATTCCCTCCGTTACCGACATGAGTTTTTAAAATTTTTTGTCAACAACTTGAAAGAATATCACAGGGTTAACTTTACCCTGTTGGAGTGTTAACTCTTTCCTACATTCTGATACCTTACTTATTTCAATAGTCCCTCTAGTTTCTGAATAAGAGCTATTTGAATGTAAAAAATCTGCCCCTGTTTCCCTCCGTTACCTCTTGACCGGACCCTTATATATATTGCAATCAATTAAATTAACAATACCAATGTTTCAGATTCTCTTGATTTAGATCTCCGGGCTCTGAGAAGTTTACCCTCTGAACTAATGTGACACAGTGGGGGGTAGATACTACACATATACCAATTTGGTGAACCTTCAGTTTGAGTTTACTTTTCATCTCAGAATATATCATCCGAACACCCATGTTGAACAATATGTCCTTGAATTTTCCACCATAACATTCTTGTTGCTTCTATATGGCATTAAACTGCCCTGGTTGTTGCAAATAGGTGGGCTAGACATCTATTTATAGATCTGGTCCAATGTGGGTACTCATTCCTTTACTCTGACTCACAAAACTGTTGGTTTGATTGAGGAAGTCTGTTAGAGACTCCCAGCTTTGACACTAAAGAGCCTGACCAATAAGCAGAAAGAGAAAGACAGGAAGAGGGCTACACTGTTAGGGGACAAAGACTGAGCCAAAGGACTGAGAAGTTTGAGTTGAGGATGCACGGCAGACCTTGAGAAGACTTTATGAGACTGGAAAACTGGAATAACAGGAATAATCTGTTTCTGGGGACTGTACAAACTTAAAAACTAAGAAGGCTTCTTTGTTTTAATTTTTAAGAAAACCTTTCTGGATTAGCTGAAGAAGAAAACAGGGTGTACTTCTGCTGTCTGTGAATCTTATCTCAGGGAACTGTCTGTACCTCAGGATTATGGTGATGTGTGCTTTGTGTGCGAATCTGAAGGATCAACATGCTCAAATGTAAAGCTGATAACAGACTGCGCAGGCTGTGGACCCTCCTGCTGCTCCAAGTGAGTTTGTTAACCTTTAAACTTATGAATCAAGATGAAGAAACTCCATCCATGGCAACAGAAAGAGAGTTTAGACAAATTAATGTAATACAGTATGCTTTATCCCTTTGTTATTATCAAGATGAGCCATTATATAGACGCAAATATCTCTATCTAAATCTCTATACTATACTCACAACTACTCGCATACCACACAAAAAGATGGCTTATATCTGTTTAGATTTAAACAAACTATTGAAGAGCTGGGCATGTTTAAAATCTGCTGTCTACTACTGTGAGTTTTACTACTTAAAATAAATGTCACAGATTGGTGAACTAACTGTGTCTCTCCATTATAGACCTGGGTCAACCTCATTCACACAGAAGGGTCCGAGGGGCAATGTGTATTTGATGTGTTCAGAAAAGATTCAGGACTGGACTACATTTCACTCACGCTCACCACAACTGGACAAGACTGTTTCTTCATAATCTCATCTCAAGAAGCTGAAATTGATGGCGTTGAGTGCATAAAGACTATAGAGGGCAATCAGTTAGAGAATAATCAGATAAAAAGCAAAAACGAAGAACGAACAAACAATAAAAGTGAGGAGTTAAAACATGATTATCTGGCAACAAATGAACTGGGTGATAACAATGGAAAGAACAATGAAGGAGCAGTTTTTACCTGTCGTATGGAGCACCTGGAGCCTGGCACCGCCTATCAGCTGCAAATCCACTCACAGAGAGACTGGCAGGTGCACAACGTCACCATCCACACCAGTAAGTGATCAGACAGCAACATATTATGACTATGGTAACAATAGGGCAGATTGGCTTTTCAAATACCACTACATCCAAATCAGGACTGTGATATGGCAAGCTTTCTTTTGCATCCATCCTAATGGATACCGATATTTTGCTTTTAAAGGGCCCATATTATAAGATTTTTTAATCTATGTTATAATGTTGTTTCCCCATCACAAACATACCCGGAGTGTGTTTTGTTTCATTCATACGTTAAACACACAATTCCTGCACACTTAGGCTGAGTTCTCTCAAGCAAAAAAGCACTCTGTTCCACCTTTTGATGTCATGTGGTAATACGGGAAGTGTTCAGTTGTGAAAGAAAGTGCTTCAGTAGAATAATTTACTAATAATTCTGCCCTTGAATTGCCAATCTCTATAACTTTTTGGAAGTTAACTTGAAAACTACCAGAAGGTGGAAGAGAAGATTTTGATCTTTGGGGGATGTAGACAGATTAATAAACCAGGATTACTCAAATGTGTGAATGAAACAAAACACAACTCTGGGTATGTTTTTCTTGAGGTAACAACATTATCAGGTAGATCAGAAAGCTTAAGGCTTAAAGCTCACAAGAATCAATTTTGTCTAATATAGGACCTTTAACCTTTCTGATATGGTACCTGAATGATATAGTCACAGTGGTTTAACTGCAATTCCCATTATGACACAACAGAAGGATGAAGAGTGACCATCTGCCTCCCTTTGGGTTATGCACTTTTCTCATCCCACTTTTTTTTTTAGAAAACACCCCACCATTACATTGATGCTACCACTGGTGGAAAGTAACAAAGTACAAAAGTAAAAGTCAAATACTTAAGTAAAATTTTTTGCTATCTGTATTTTTTTTTTTTTTTTTTTTTACAGTGGATACTTTTTACTTTACTTCATTACACTTGAAAGCACGTATCTTTACTTTCTACTCCACTACATTTTTAGATCTGAACTGAAAAGTAAAAAGTACTTTTTTATAGTTTGAGACTTACTGACTTAATTTTAGCACATTTCATTTGAATTACTTAAAATCACCTAAATTCTTTATAAAAATCACTACATTTGAGGCATTAATTGGTCAAAATGCTGTTACTTTTTACTCTTAAAGTACATTCTTCAACAGATACTCAGTAGATTTTTATGTGATACTTTTACTAGAAGTAATCTTTTGCCCCTGTATCTACTTTTACTTAAGCAACAAAACTGAGTTCTTCATTGACTACTGGATCCTAACTATATGCTATTACAATTTCTCTGTGTGTTATGATTTAAAGAACAGTGGTCTGTCTGTGTCTGAGTTAATATCATGGAGCTTTCCTCTCTGCAGTTCAGTGATTAGCCACAGGAACAGTGACCCTGCTGGGAGCGACTGATAGACCGCTAATAGCATATACAGTCTGTGTGTGTTAGGGCTGGCCTGTGTCCAGAACAGAAGTTGGGCCTTCAGTGTGTATTTCCAACGCGGCCGAGCTCAGGGTTCATTTCCTGCCTCCTTTGTTTCTTTGTTCTGTGGGAAGCAGTGGGAAGGGTGTGTGTGTGCTTAGGAAACGGGGTGGTACTGCAGCCCCCCCATACTAACCTTCTCCGCAGCTCCACATTCTGCTCTGGGCTTTTTTTACTTTGTGTTTGACCCCTTATCTGACCAGCATGTTGGCTACATTGACCTTTCACTCGCCAGATTTGTGTTTGTAACCAATGGAGAGATCACATCAGACAGGCAAACCAAACCCTGACATTAACATATATCTATATTATGAATTGATCCTTGTTGCTAGACACTCTTCCAATCTATATTCCAGGCCAAATAATCTGCACATATAGTTATGCTGCAGTCCCTGTTCTTGTTGTCCACTAAACGTTAAGGCGATGGCCACAGGATGGTATGGACAGCTCTGGATCATCTAAAAGACAGAGATACACAGTTCACAGTGAAATGACTAAACCTTTCTATAGGCCGCGCATACATTTTACATCACACAAGGCCATCAAGAAGCAGGGAACTCTGTTATGATTTACACATATTCACAAACATCAGGAGGTTTATTACTAAGGGTGGCTTATGAAACCTTAATACGCATATAGAGCTTTAGGTACTCAACGACCTTCATAACCGACAGTTCACTAAAAATACCCAATATACGATAATAATAGGCTGTAGTTATATAGTGGCACAAGTCCGTTTAGCAAAAGCACGTAGCAGTGGTAACCCTAGTCTTCGCTTAGCCACCGCTAATTGGGCATAAAATTGGGCCAAAAACGAATGTCAACCAATTCACGACCGACTAAACTGAATTGCACGCAGATTAATACGCTAAGACCATTTCAAAAGTATTTTGCCCCTACTGTTTTATGTTTCTGCCGAGTAGGCCTGCAAGACACGTTATGGAGTTTGTTTCTTTTATTAGGCCCATCAGCGGTCATTGGGCTGGCACTCAGCTTCAGCTCCACGCGGAGCTTGGGCCTCTCATGGCAGGCAGGACCGGGCCGGACACAGCGCTACAGGCTGCTGCTCTGGGAGCATCCACACTCCGCACACTTGTCAGGTAGGCTACATCCTATCGGCAACACTTGGTTAGACATCACATCGGACAGCCCTACATCACTATCATCGAAGTTCAAAGGGCACAGTTGAAATGAGCACAATAGTATCAAGCATATGCTTCAGTCTATTAGTCTTAAGTGGTCATTACAAATAATAAACTAATCTAAGAAGTTGTTTTATTTGCATAGGTCTCATAGGAAATGAAACACTGGAAAGCACAGCAATGCAACATATACTCAAAAACCTGGTGCCAGGACGAGAGTACAACATTACAATGGTTACAGAGTCTGGAGGGTTGCAGAACAGCACATCTATTGAAGCCCAAACAGGTAAAGGGTTATCAAATTTAATAGGGTTACATGTCTCAAAGGTTCTTTTTCATATTGTGTTTCTTCTTAGTTCCTGCTGCAGTTTCCAACATCACACTTGATGACAGGAACAGCACGAGCCTGTTGCTATCATGGCAACAGCCTGAGGGGGATTTGGATGCTCTCATCATCACCTTCTTCACCAGTGACACCAGAGTTTGGGAGACACATCTCCCCCCTAATGCCACACAGGTCAACATCCATAACCTAACTCCAGGGTCCAGTTATAAGATAACAGTGGTGTCAACAAGCCAAGGACTGTCAAACCAATCAGAAATTTCACTCACAATGAGTGAGTGGCTCATCTCTTATGCACTGTGTTATATTATTGTTGTATCTCTTTGCTAATACCTTTTATCCTTAGTCCCAGAAGCAGTATCTGAATTAGCCCTGTCTCCTTCCTCGGATGGGGGCCTCTTAATGTCCTGGTCTGCCCCTCATGGCTCCTGGGATGGCTACAGGCTTTTCTTGTTTGATGGAACCCAGCAGCTCATCAACACTACTGTCAACAGGGAGGCTGTAAATTTCACCATCCCTGGGACTAGTCTTACCCCGGGGAGACTTTACAAAGGCCTTTTGAGGGTAGAGATTGGAGAACTGTATGCTGAAAAGGCCTGTGAGGGATTGTCAGGTCAGTAAGTTGCAAGTGTAATAACTGAAAGCATAAATCCAACTGCTTTTATTTTTGTTTTTGTTTTTGACTGTAGCCTATACTCCACAGAAAGTTACAATGTCAGGAGTGCAATTTTGTTTAAGCATTTTGTTACGAAATATTTTAGGATTCATTATTTCTCTTACTGCAGCCCCTGCTCCAGTGTTGGACCTGCATATTCGTCATGCTGATGAAACATCTCTTAGTGCCATGTGGAGCCATCCATCTGGATCACGAGACAGTTACTTCCTGATTATTTCCCATGGTAACATTTTCATCAAATCTTAATATCAAAGAAATGCCATATTTGACTTCATGACTTCCTATGTCATAGATAATGTAACTGTGGCCACTCGCAAGGTGCAGGCCAGTATGAGAGAGTGCACCTTTAACGTGCTGACTCCTGGGAGGCACTACACTATCACTGTGGTATCCAGAAGCGGCACGGAGAACAGCTCAGTGTCTGTAGAAGGGCAGACAGGTGTGTACTTATATAAGAAAATATATACTTGATGAATGGAATAAACGTACGCTATAAGGCCTCTGTATGCCAAAACTATCTCATCATCAGTGCCCATGTCATTGACGAAGATGATCTTGAGCAGCGCAGGAGTGAACAGACTCCAGGTATTATGGGAAAAACCACCTGGAGATGTTGAGTCATACATGCTAACCCTGCAACAGGACAGGTCTGTATCAAATGTATTAATAAACATATTTGATTACAAAATGTCTCTTAAACAGTTTTAATCTCTTTAACAGTAATGTTGTGCAGAACTACAGTCTTCCAGAGGGTTCTTTCTCCTTGGTGCTGTCCGAGCTGACTCCAGGCACTCTGTACAGGCTGCAGGCTGTCACAGTCAGTGGAGGAGTACAGTCCAAACCAAGAAACCTGGAGGCACGAACAGGTCAGCCAGTCAGCCGTCTTTGATTTTCTTAGCACAAACAAACTGTCCTGGATGTTTGTAAAATAAGATAAAATAATGAAATAAATTTTATTTTATATTTGTTTAAAAAGAGGGTTATTTGGGCCTTTTACATTAGTAGTAGTTTGTAATGTAGTATTTATAATTAAGTTGTGAACAAGTTTGTATTTAGCAACAGAATAATAGTTTCGTAACATTTAAAAGTTGCAGTTGGGTTGAAGGGTGATAAGATCAGACGGGTCGTAAAACAATGGCCGAAATGCCAAAACTGTCGTATGGAATGTTCCAGACACGCAGACCCTCCCAAAGCACCACTCAAAGACTTCCTGTGGACTCACACACAGCTTCCTGCTCCAGTGCCTATTGTGTTTCACTAAATGTCCCATTTATTTTCAGGGCAGACTGTATTTATGTCTGTGTGAACATCTTGAACAGATTTTAATTATACAAAACAAAAATGACTTATTTAAGTAAGTCAATCGGTAATTGTGATATTTGTTACAGCTGACTAACTTCAAAGCTATTGTGTCTAATAATTACTAGTAGTGTTAAGTTAATAATTAACTTCATTTTGTCTCAGTCCCAGCATCTGTAACTGAGATAACCACTTCCAATGGTGGGAGGTCAGATGCGCTTCAGGTGTCATGGCGACCAGCAGCAGGGGCAGTGGACAGTTATCTTGTGCGTCTTCAGGATGGCAGTCGGACCGTTCACACTCTGGCAGTGTCCCGCTCCTCCACCCCAGAGTGCTCCTTCAGCTCGCTGGTGGCTGGGCGGCTTTATTCTGTTGTCATAGTGACACGAAGCGGCAGTTTGGAGAATGCTACAACTGTGCAGGCTCGAACCCGTAAGCCACTGCACTGTGTTTGGGGAATATAGTCTGTTTGTTATTTTCTAAAAATTATGTTGTTGTTTCTTAGAGCCGGCAACTGTGCAAAACCCAACAGCTGTTCACTCTGGACGAGATGACTTCCTTAAGGTGGTTATTTATTTTCAAAAAAAATATCAATAACTTGTCAAAAGTACATAGTGATATATTATTATCGTGACCTTTTATAGGTTTACTGGCGCCATGCTGCTGGTGATCTTGATTATTATATGGTTCGAATCCTGTACAACAACAGTGTGTTACAAAACAAGAGCGTTCCTGCAGGACACAATGAATGTGTCTTCACCTTTCTGAAGCCAGGACGACTTTACACTGTCACTGTGGAAACATGGAGTGGAGACTATGTCAGCACCGTCTCCACTGATGGACGCACCTGTCAGTCTGAAAGACTTCACAAACTCTTAGCTCCTCATCACTGAATCTTAGAAATTGTCTCTTTTTTAGTTCCAGCTGCAGTGGGCAATCTGTCTGTGGTTAGTGCAGGGACGGATGATCTGACTGTCACTTGGAGCCCTGCTCCTGGAGATGTGGACCACTATGAGGTGACTTAAAAAGCATGAACCTGATGACCTAAATGTAATGCAATGATGACCAAATGTTTTCTGCTCATAGGTTACATTGCTCTTTAATGACACTCAAGTTTTTCCACCGGTCACATTGGGCAGTACTGTGCGGAGTCACAGGCTGACATCTCTGACTTCAGGCCGACTGTATAAGATAGTGCTATCCACATTCAGTGGGCCATACCAAAGAGCACAGTTTATTGAGGGGAGAACAGGTAAAGCATCTCAGTTTTCTACTTAATGCCAACACAAGTTTGCCAACCTGAGGCCCATATCTCTTTTCAGTTCCCAGTGCAGTTAGGAACCTCCACTTAACACCAGCATTTACAGAGACTCTTGGAGCGTTGATTGCCTCTTGGGCACCTGCACCTGGAGACATAGACATGTACATAGTCTCTCTTTCTACTGAGGTAACTTATAAGTAGTTGTGCTCAAATTAAATAATAATGTGATGTGTCATGCACTTTTTCTTCATCTGTATGTTTGGTAGAGTGACCTAATTGACAGGCGCCCTGTTCTAAAACATGTCTCCTCAAGGGAGTTTGTGGACTTGATCCCAGGCCAACTCTACATCGTCACTGTTCAGTCAGAGAGCGGGAAGCTGACCACTAACAGCACAGCCCGCTGCAGAGCAGGTGAGTTTTTGTTTACACAGACAAGACCTTCTTATATAAAATAAGACATGATAATCATCTGATCTATATTAATCAATGGCTATTCATCATGGCAGCTCCTGCTCGAGTGACAGCTCTTCAGGCAGATAATGCCCACACGACACACAGCCTCACTGTCTCCTGGGAGAGGCCAGAGGGAGTATTTGACAGCTACAGGCTGCAGCTGCTGGACCAGGACAGCGCTGTCCTCATCAATCGAACTGTTGCCATGGAGAGCCGCCGTGAGCAACTGGAGAACCTGACGTCTGGAAAGTGGTACAAAGTGAGAGTGGTGACTTTGAGCGGTGGTGTCCCATCACTTGAAGCAACAGCTGAAGGGCAAACACGTAAGATTAAAATCCTTACTATTGTTGTCAAATTTAAGAAAAGATGAAATATGGCCTGATCATATTTGTTACAGGCCCAGCAGCTGTTAGCAACTTGACAGTGGTCTCAGCCAATACATCCTCCCTGTCTTTCTCCTGGCGCCCATCAGATGGTCATGTTGACATGTATAACCTGTCCCTCTATCATGTCCCTGAGAGCAATAGACAGGAGGCTGCAGAGGACAAACCAGAGGTGGGAATTGTTTGTTTTAAGATTCTTCTTCCAAGGAAGGGATTTGACTGTAAGATGTTATGTCTTGTGTAGGACATAAATGAGTTGGTGGGTCAACAGAAGATGACCCCCTCTTCACAGAACTGTACGTTTGAGGGTCTTTCTCCTGGAAGTCTGTACCGACTTCAGGTGCTGAGCTTGAGTAGGGGCATGAGCAGTGACTCCTCGGTGCTGGCTAGAACAGGTCTGTGCATTTGTCACTGTATTTAACTCATTTGTCAAGTGTCAAACTGTAACTCTTTTTACTTTCTTCTGATGCAGTTCCTGCTCCAGTGTCATTCCTGGAGGTTCAGAGTTCAGGACATACAGACCAACTCACTGTCAGTTGGCAGCATGGGGAAGGGGGCAGGAGTCGCTACCAGGTACTTACTCAAAAATAAGATTATAAATACCAGTACCCCAGTGTCAAGTTTGACTCTAAATGTCTAAATGTTTTCCATGGTTCTTAAGGTGGTTCTTTATGATTCAAATGGAGCCTCACTCAGTGATCAAACAATGGCAGCAGACCATAATAGGCACACTTTTTCAGGATTAGTTCCTGGTCATTTATACCGAGCTGAGGTCCTTACACACAGCGGAGAACTCATCAATAGTGCTGTTGCTTTGGGGCGAACTTGTAAGGCATATTAGTACATTAATTTTATTAATACATTTTCATATCATTGTAATGCTGTTATGTTTTACCAGCCCCAGATCCTCCCACCTACCTCTCTGTTAAACAAGGACCAACAAATGACACCATACTGTTGTCCTGGGCTGGCCCTACTTATGGTGACTACAGTAACTTCAGTTTACTGTGGGCCCCTTCGGACCAGCTGACTGTCACCCCAGTGCACATGACAGAGGCCATTGTGAGTGGGATGTTTCCTGGAAGACTGTACAATTTTTCCCTGGTGACTGTGAGTGGGGGGAGTTACGGATCTATGGCCCGGAGCCAGCCAATCCAGCACAGCGTTCGAACAAGTAGGTGGAGTTTTACATTGAACAAATGAATCAGAAGTAGCTAATTCTTGTCTTGTTAATATGCATACATTATTGTCATATATTGTTGGTTTAAAACAATTAATTTTACATAACTTTGTGTCAGCATGTATGTAGTTTTACCACCAGGTGGCAGCATATTAAAATATTTGAATAGTGAAATGAGAACAAAGTTTCTGCCAGTTTTTAATATAAATCTGTGAGTATTTTTAATCACTTGCTGTTTTGCTGCGAGGCTTTGGCTACGGGGTAAAACTGATCACCCAAAGGAATAAAAATTCAGGCCACACACTTATAAATATGAATGACCTACTTTTTACTTTAGTCTGTGTTTTTTCAAGTCACAAAGTGTTTTAGATATCAGCTAAGAACTGACACACAACTCTGACAGTATGGGGTGCAGTTATTTGACTAACTATTTTCATACATAATATTACACTTGATGTTATTAAGCAAAAGTGATTCATGGTTTAAACAGGGTATGGCTTATTTTGTCAATATGAGATCCTAGTATTCAGAAACAAAATAGTGAGTAAAGTGTATACTGCAGATGGTCCAGTGATTCAGAGGGTGGAATAAACACAACTGTTGATTTTTATCTCTTTGACAAATGACATTCTCCTTTTGCCTTTATCCATGTGCTTAAAGATGTATCCTCCTCCTAAAGATCTTCCTTTGGTCTTATCAGCAGCATTTCCTCTAATGTGGGCTTATTATGTATACAAGTACCACCTTGTGTCCTTGGATTCTGTACAGGTCCATCACAGCTGAGATCTCTCCACTGCTTCCCTCTGTCCTCCTCTTCGATCTCCTGTTCCTGGGTGCCTCCTCTCTCCGACTTTGACTCGTATCATGTTGAGTGTCGCCGCCATGACAATAGGGAGCTGACCTCTGCGTTACGGTTGGCTGGGGGCGTCACCACGGTAACCCTGGACCACTTGGATGCGTACAAGAAGTACTCTGTTACTGTCCGAGTGTCTTCAGCAGGCCAGACCAGTGCACCAGCCTCACACTCCACTGTCACCATGATAGACCGTGAGTTTACACTGTCACACACAATTTTAGCTTTGTGTTAATATGTCATTCTTAAACCCTGTTTAATGTACTTCAAAGACAGACTCACCACACCCATTGTTGACCACAGGATAATAACGATCAATGAACCCACAGTCCTCTCTAGTTGATTAAGCCAGCTGTTTAAATAGACTCTTGTTTAAACAGACCCTGAATACACAGAGATCAGCAAATGACAAATAGATGCAGTTTATTAGATTGTAATTACTGTAGGAGCAATATACAAATGTTACACCTCCTGCCCTCAGGGCCTCCAGTCCCAGCTCCTACTGTCCACGTGAGCGAGAGGTCTGCAAAAGTCACATCATCGTCCATTTTGTTTCGTTTCAACTGCTCCTGGTTCAGTGATGCCAACGGAGCCATACGGTACTTTGCTGTCATTGTGGCTGAATCTGATGGTAAACACTTTCATTATATTCTGTGCTGCTCTGATTAACCAAAGGAGTCAAAGGACTTAAAAGAAATTTGAGTTTGGTCATCATTGGGTCGCTTGTTGTTTCACAGCCAATGAGATTCTGCAACCAGAGCAGCTTCACCCAATGCCCTCTTATCGTGATTACATCAATAACTCATCAGTCAGAGCCTACCAGAGTGCGTACTTCCCCAGTCGTTGTCCACAGGACTCTGAGGCCTCTGCTGGACAGGTACAACTCATGTAACTGTCAGGGCTTCACAGAAATACAAGAGATAACTCACCAAATGATACCAGATTACATTTTTTTACACTAATATAATCATTCCCATAGACAGTGGAATTTGATTGATAGTTCTCATAAACACTACTTCTACTTACATTTTTGTTCTTAATTGTAAACCTTATTGTTTGGTAGGCCCAGGCATTTAATCAATTCTGATCAACTTTTACAGCTTAGACAATAAGTGTGTATTTACTACAAATAACACATAATTGCACCTGCTGTAGTTGTGATAACTTAAAGACTGATAACCTAATTTGCAGGTTGTTGAGGTGAATCTTGGAGCAGGAGGGGATCGGCTGGGGGGAAATTGCAACCTCTACCATGATGATGACTTCTTATTGAGCGACAGCTATGGTGACTTCTGCGATGGTCCACTGAAACCTAAAACTTCATATAGGTAAAACTTACTACACTCTCCAATAGGCAGAGGTAAGCAGAGTAGCCAAAAATAATAATATTACTCAAGTAAAAATAAGTAAGATAAACTACAACTCAAGTAAAGGTAACTGGAAGAGTTACTGTCTTTATGTAACAAATGATTTATCATTTGAAGTTAGTCATCATATCTGAAGTATTGGGCAAGAAACAGAAATGTTCAAATAATTGGTTTCATAAGCTTTTTTTGACCTGTAGGCGTACTCAAAACTTATTCTCAAATAAGAATACTGTTACAGTGTCAGAAAAGTAGGAGTAAAAGTATGATGTCAGAAAACTACTCAGAGAAGTACAACTTTATGAAAATATGTAAGTTAATGTGGCCCTACCCACCTCTGCCGATAGGGAAGAGTTAAAGTTCTCATCGCACTCATTGTTTACCATTTTATTTTTCAGGTTGAGTGTTCGAGCTTTCACCAGACTGTTTGATGAAAACCACAGAGAGTTTCCCCAGCCACTGTTCACTGACACTTACCTGTCTGCTCCCCTGAGGACTCATGCTGGTGAGTGCCCGAAACCATAAACACTACACCATTTTAAAATGCCTAATCAGTAACTGTGTTAATGTATTTTGTATTTGGTACAGAACCTCTTGGTGGAGTTGTGGAGGGATTGAGTGCTGGTATGTTTTTGATTGGTGTCATGGTGGCGGTGGCAGCTCTTCTAATGTACAGACAGAGGCTGCGAAAAGTGTACGTTTTTATCTCACCATTTTTCTATACCAAGATCCATAGTGCCAAAAACTGATGTCAAGTATGGCATCTTCTGGTTCAGATGAAAATAGTGAATCTCAAAGCAACCACTCTACAACGCTTTACATTGTCCATGTGTTGCTCAAGATAAAAGAATAACACATTTCAGGGGTACTAGATCTACATTAGAACTTTAAAAAAAAAAAATGTCTTTTTTTTTTTTTGGTAAGTGGGTTAAACACCTAAACTCCTCCTCCAGTTACAGCTTAATGAGCTGTTAACATGGACTGTGCTTGGGGGACTTAAAGCTATCACTTGCAAGTTGTTTATTTGTTTTTTCCAGTAGACGGCAGAGGTGAATTTGAACTCTAAATTCTAAATAAAAATAAATAAATAAATTATATATACATATATATATATATATGTGTGTGTGTGTATATATGTATATATGTGTGTGTGTGTGTGTAAATATATATAATATATATATGTATATGTGTGTGTGTGTATATGTAATATATATAAATATATATATGTGTATATATATATATATATATATATATATATATATATATATATATATATATATATATATATATATACACACATAATTTAGTAGCAAAAACAAAAACTTTGATTGAACATTGAGTCCCACTTTTCTTTTTTCAAATAATGAAGTAGTGCTTTGGTCTGACCCTAACATTTATATCAAAGGTGGTCTGTAAGTTGACTTCTTTTGTAGCAGGGCGGTGCAGGAGAACCCAGTGGTGCGGATGAGCATGTGGAAAGAGGTGCCAGCTTCAGGGATGTATATGGGGGTCCGGAGGTGAGTGTGACCAATCTGCCTCTCCATCTGTAATTATATTTTCCTCTGTGTGTATGATAGAGAAGGATTAGTTTCCAACACCTCTTATGTCTATTAAGTGAGAGCGTAAGATATTAGTTTTCAATAAAGTCCACTCTGGTAGATTACCTCATCATTCAGCACCACAGTCCACAGCTTCGGATAATTAAGGTGCAGATGTTCACTGCTCTCCATTAGCCAAACACAAACAAAGCACTCAGTAGTGTAAAACACTCCTGGAGGGTTGAGTTATGACATGATAATTGGTATGCATATGATACAAACATTATTATATAATTGTTTATACTATTTTGATGGAGATTTGTAGATATTAATGTGTATGTTCTGTCTTTCAGTAACCGTAGAGTCACCAGGTATGTATTTAACAATAATATATATAAAACTGCATTATGTAATCTTCCTGGTGGAGGGTCCGTCATTGGTTTGTCTCCTTGGAGATATTATTGCTTTGCTTGGAAGTTCCAAAGACAGTATGGCATTAAACTTATTTACATTATGTTTATTCAATTACAGGAATTTTTATTGCTCAAAAGTACATAGATTCTAACTGTGAGTTGGATCACATCTCCACAGATCTGACCTGTAACCTGGTTTTTGATGTCACCTGCTTGACTCCCAATATCTTAAATGAACACTAATGAATATTCCAGACAAGGCAATACACCTATGCAAGCAGTTACGAACATTCCACTAGAAAGGTGGCATAGTGCCCCTTTAACTTTTGAATTTCAAACATTTAACTGACTCTTTTGTGTTTCAGTCCAATCAAAGCCCACCATTTTGAATCGCATTTGAATAAACTTCAGGCTGATTCAAACTATCTGCTGTCAGAGGAGTTTGAGGTGACTCTGATTTGAAATAAGCTGCAGCTCAGGCTTGTTTCATTAAATAACAGAGCATGTTGCCATTTAGGATCTGAAAGATGTGGGTCGAAACCAGACCATGGACCTGTCACGGCTGCCTGAGAATAGAGGGAAGAACCGTTACAACAACATCCTACCCTGTAAGCACTGATGCTAGAGGCTAAATTAAACTTTAGATAATGTTTCAATCTATTTCATGTGTGCTACTATTTGAACACTTATAAATCACACATTTAATGAATAAAAAAATCTGTGATATGTAGTTGACCAAAGAATAAAATATGATTTCAACAATACTTTTAGTTACCTTGCTATATAAATGAGTAATTATGTATAGTTATGTAGATATTCTTAACAGTGTATTGAAAGGAGAATCTCAATGATGAGAATAATGACAACTATGAAAATAATAACAGTACATATGCCAGTCAGTATAGTTAGAACTGGGAAGAGGTGGGAGGGACCTTGTAATGTTTGTTAATGAGTTCTTCAGATTGGTGTTAAATCCCAAAAATTTGTATTAAAATGAAATACAAAATAGCTGTTTTCCAGACTTCCCTGTAACATTTGCATAGTACTAAAAAGCTAAAGAAACTGTGACATCTCTTTAGATGATTCCACCAGAGTGAAGCTGTCATATCTGGAGGATGACCCTTGCTCAGACTACATTAATGCCAGCTACATCCCGGTACGCACCATTCAGACATGTTTCCCATAGAAACAAGTGCACAACACACTCACTGTCTCTCATTTTTCAGGGTAACAACTACCGCAGGGAGTACATTGCCACCCAGGGCCCCCTGCCTGGCACCAAAGACGACTTCTGGAGGATGGTGTGGGAACATGGCGTCTACAACATTGTCATGGTGACGCAGTGTGTGGAGAAAGGACGGGTCAGTTTTTTTTTTTGTTTTTTTTTTACATTGGTCCCTTTGTTAACATTACCAACTACCAGTGGTGGAAACAGTACAAAAATGTGACCTCCAGTAAAAGTATCGTTACATGGCTAGAATTAGTTACTAGTTTCTTTTTCACAAATTGAAAGCTTGTAATGTTGTTCTAAACAACAATATGCATACTCTCTGAGCTTTGTACAGTCAGAGCAGGAGATAGTGTAGTTCATCATTTGAAACATGGAAACTGCAATTATATGGGTAGAACTGAACTTGATTACAGTACATGTTTTTTTGTTGTTGTTTTTTTACATTTTAAAATGACAGTTTTTGACAGCATTGCCAACTATTTTATTATCACAAAAACACTAATATAATTTGAAATCTCTGGGGAAATTAGAGTTGTAACATATGTGTTACAGGTGAAGTGTGACCAGTACTGGCCTGCAGACAGGGAGCCTCTGTACTATGGGGACCTGGTCATCCAGCTGATGTCAGACTCTGTGCTGCCTGAGTGGACCATCAGAGAGTTCAAGATCTCCTCGGTAATGTATAACAGTCTAACCCTCTTGTCAACTACTACAGGTCTTGCAATATATTTACACTACTGTGCAAATATATTGACTACATTGGTAGTGACGGGCAATATGGTAGTGACGGGCAATATAATTTTTATTTCAGTCAAATAGCAAGTAATTCTATGGCAAGTATTGCAATATCAATCTGATACCAACACCAATGAGTTTTGTATTATGAAGCATTAAAACTTCTTTACTATGAAGAATTACACCTTGGTGTATAGAGGCCCCAGCCCAGCTTGAACTGACTTAAAAAGAAAATCTAAACAATATAATTAAAAATTGTATTAAAAAATTTATTTTAAGGCCAACACACACTAGGACACTTTGGTGTGTAGCAAAATTGTTGGCTGCATTATTTTCTATGAGCCAAACACAAAGTGGGCGGCCACACGCCACAATTGGGGTTTGTTGAGTTGGCACCGTGTCTGAAAACACATGCATTTTGCACTTCTGCTGTGAGTACATGTCTATGTCTATGCTTTGTGAAAGACAAAAAACTTGCCTCTAGCTAAACTCACTATAACCTCTTCAAACCAACACCTTTCCTCTCCTCTCACAGCCTTACAATGTGTCTCTTATTTTATAAGTAATCTACAGATAAAACTCTAACTAATTTATAACACAGAAAGAATTGTGTTAAAGCCTTTTTAAGAGCTGTGATATGAGGCATTCAGTGTGTGTTGATGTGTGGGTTCAACACGCTGCAAATGACGCAACATGTTTGGGTGTGCGTACTGATCACTGTTCTTTAACCTCATACAAATAAAGTAGTTCAACTGTAAAACACTCTTGATGGATGACATAATTGGTACGATTTCTCCATAAGCTACTGAATTTTTCATCATTATATTTCTGTGTTTTATTTTGACTTGTACATATGCATTTATCAAATTATGCCTTGTTTGACACCTTGCTATATTTGCTACTTATTTTGACTGTATCATTACCATTTATATTTTTGTTCTTTGTTATTATTTTATATTACGATGTGTGAGCTACTGTGTCCAAATAATTTCCCTTGTGGATGAAAAGTTTGTCTGATTCTAAGTGTAAGAAATCAAAGTCAATGAAATCTGTTTGTGACACAGGAGAGCAGCTGCAGTTATCCTCGGTTGGTGCGGCATTTTCACTACACAGTTTGGCCTGATCATGGAGTTCCAGAGAGCACACAGTCCCTCATCCAGTTTGTGCGCACAGTGAGAGATTATGTGGACAGATCTCCCAGCACCGGAGCCACTGTTGTTCACTGCAGGTGGGACCACAAATAACTTCACTCTACTGCACTCTCTGTCATGCTAATTATTATATTGATTTATCCTTCAATATATAAAAGCTTGAACAATATATTTTGGGGCTCAGTATTTATCATGTGTGTTTGCCACTTGTCTGAGCTATAGAGGGTAGAAAAAAACTCTATGGCTAATTATTGGTTCCTTCTGCTATTTATTTGTTGTAGCTCAAGCCTTTTCATGATACAGTATATAAGCTAATTTACTGAGAGTGTCCTGCTTTGTGTCAGTGGAATGAAGTAGTTATAGTTCAATATTATTGTTTATTGTTTATTGTGACAAGTGTATAGTCTGCTACTTTGACTGGAGATGATACAGCTTTCTTTAATATTCCACGGAATGGGATAAACCTATATAACTAGCATTTATTCTGCATGTGCATGTCTTATTGCTCAAAAAATACTTGCAAAACCAGTAACTTGACATGGTAGTGTTGCATGCTTCTCTCCATGTTAGAAAAGTTTAATTTGTGGAACATCCCAGGCAAAGCAATAACATTTTCATGGAAACAGCTGTTGAACACTACCAGGAAAGTTACACCTTTAACTTATCGCAAATGTTCTAATTTTGTTTGGTTTAGTGCTGGTGTTGGTCGAACTGGGACTTTCATTGCTCTGGATCGGGTATTGCAGCAGTTGGACTCCAAAGGCACCATAGACTTGTATGGATGTGTGTTTGACCTTCGGCTTCACCGTCAACACATGGTTCAGACAGAGGTATGTTGTTACAACACATATATAAGCACTATCTTTTGGGATTTGGGAAGTCAGTAGTTTTAATTATGTTCATAACAGTAGATCGAATATACAGATAATATATGGTATTATGTATTGTGTTTTGCAGTGTCAGTATTCCTTCCTGCACCAGTGTGTGAGAGATGTCCTTCGAGCCCGAAAGCACCGCAGTGAGCAGGAGAACCCCCTGTACCCCATATATGAAAACTACAACCCCGAATACTGCAGAGGTATGTTACACTAATGTATTTCCTGTATGTATCATTTTGATTTAGGTAATTATGTCATGTGCTCAACTTTTTTCCAACAGATTTCATGTACACTGGATGTTTAAAAGACTAAACTGAAGATAAAGACTGTGATTCTAATGATCACTGACAGTTTCTTCCAAACATACTACTGTATGTGGTTTGCAGTACCAATTGAAAGACCTGTAGCATACACTGTCTGATTGGATGCAATGCTATAGTAAGAAACAAATCTATTCAAATTAAATTTTAGTCAAATGGTTTGACAAAAGTGGCATTCATTTTGACACGATGCACTTATGTTCTCACTGCCACGTGAAGTATAAGCTGTTTATTTAAGTCTACACATATTGCTGAATGTAAATATTGATGTAATACTCTCTTATATAATGAAAAATATTATATACATGCAGATTATTTTATATTCAAAAATGTTTTATATATGCTTTGAAAAATGTTAATCTTCTGTAATGTCAAAAACACAATGGGAAACAATTATACCATTATTTAACTGTTTATATAGAGTATTGATTAAATTTTTACAACATTTTGAGTGCCATTACTCTATCAGGTTTTTTTTTTTTTTACTTGTGTTCATTTGTGTAGTCATTGGATTTAAATTGGATTTAATAAAAAATATATATAAGCAACTAACCTAATTTGCCAATTTAGTGCATTTACATTCTGCAACTGCAACTGTCCTCATTTTGTCAGTAAACTCACCAAACTTTTTGTGTTTTGTTGGAGCCAATTTTCAACTTTAGATTTCCATATTGATCTAGGGCAGAGAGTCCGGAACAGAAGTGGGTAACCCACATAATGGGCAGCAGGAGCCTGTCACTGCTCAAGTCTGTCCCGTGTAAACCACACAGCAACTCCAAAATAGACTGTGATACTGCAATACAACAGTGTGCACTGTGGCAGAAGAGTGCAGTCTGTCAGAGGAACAAGTAATGCTCCTTTTCCTACAAGTTTAATGACTGTTTGCTCTATTGTGTGATTGTGCGAGAAGAGCCACTAAGACATATTTTATTGTGAGGGGTTTTGGTCAAGATTTTAGCATGACAGGCAATACTTCAGGAAACACAGGGTATATATAACAATGTGAGTTTTGTGCACAGGGGTTATGGAGGCACAAAGGGTCAGCTTACTTCACTAAGTCATTGGATATTCATGATTTCCTCTTGTCCACAGTGAGGTCACTCTGAGATTATGATGGGATTTTATTATTTTAATGAAAGACTAGAGGACAGATGAAAGGACATACTGTAGCCTTCATACAGGCCACTCCTGTCTGCTCCTGTACTGAAATAGTCAAGGGTGAAACAAGAGTGAGAGGTTTAAGCACAAAAGGTGTTTTATTTAAAGGTCTCTATCAGGCACTATAGTTGTTGCATGTGAAGACACATATAAGCAGCTAACCTGATTACAGAGGTCAAAGCTGAATAGAGCAGAGGCAAAGGACAAGATACGAAGCAAAAACATTGTAAGTACATACTCAGACTACACATAGTACTACTCCTATTCAAACAGTCTGACCAAAACAAACAGACATATATAGAGTGTAAGACAAATATTTCAACATTGAAAGATGAAGAGCAGGGATGGGTTGGGCCACAGCTTTGCATATGGCTTTAAATTATGTTGATAATGTAAATCTCATCAGAATATCAGACTGCTACGATAAGGCTACATCACACACGTTCTTTGGAGAGATGACTCAGGACTCACACACAAAGAAATACAATGGCTTTTAACCTAGTTTACAAAGTTTTCCTTAACCTAGCCACATTTGATGAACTAAATACCTGAAAAGTAAATTACAATTAAACAAAACTATGTAGGGATGATCCTTAGAAACTCTCAACAATACCTTAACAGTTACAGTAGTGCTTAACAAAAATGCAATTCAGATGTGCAGGATATACAGAATTCTGTCGCTACATCAGCCTGCTGTGCTGCTGTGGAAGGTAAAGACTGATAAGAACATTATTTAAATTGTTTATTTTACATTTAGAATGTAATGTTTTATAATATATGAATTAAGTTATATAAAAGATATAGAAGATGCTACAGCTCTAAAGTGCTACAGTGGTGACTGAGAACATCCATTAAGCATGATTACACCAGGTGAACCTGAGCAAAAGCGCTATAGTACTTTTCAGTAATAAGGTTTCTTATCAACATGGCGCACAAGTAAAATGTACACAAGGGCATTTAATTCAACCCCTGGCTCCAAACTTATAGGTTTTTCATAATGTAATGTATGTATAATGCTTAATAAGACCCAGAAGCGCCAATACGTACTTTTCAGACCCCTGTCTAATACTCTTAAGATGATTTCAGCAGTTAAACAGTCATACCTTCAAGAGATCTGACTAATAACAAATCAGCTTCACATAAATTCCATCAACCTTCATTTCATAAATATAATGCCACAGACTTTGGTCAACATTTTCTATTTAACGTTGTTTTAAAAAGTTATTTTTCCATTGTCAAGCGCTGTTACTGTTGGGTCTGTACATAAAATATATTGTAAAATTTTACAATAAACATTAAAATGTATAATTTGCTTAAAAATAAATAATAAATTCATCCTTCATTATAAGAAGTGCTTGGTTGGTAATGATAGTCAACACAATACAACTGAGAGTGTTTTTGGCTACTTTGCTACATAAAATATAAAATGAGAAACGTATGGCTATTGTTTTGATTCAAAATTTTACTGCAAATATTGTGTTTATACTATTTAGATACAAACTGAAAGGAAACAGCTATTCATCACACAGATTTCAGAAAAAAGTGCACATTTATGGCTACTGGGATTGCGCTACAAGAGGAACCTTTTAAAAATACATTTATCTTACTAGAGATTGAGCTAAGACTCAGAGTCAGAGGAGAATTTCAGGTTCTGAGACTGCAGTGTGGCATATAAACTGCTACTGCTGCTGTCTGGTTTCGCCACAGAGCAGAACTCTCCAGTGTGGGCAGCTCAAATCGAGACAACAGATTTCAGTCAGATCTGTCATATGTCACGTACTGAACATCGTCTGCCATCTTGAACCACACACAGATGGCTCACGGTATTTCCATCCCAGTTGCCAATTGCTCAGTTTCAGTCCAGATCAGTGTTCACGATCTCGTCTACGCACTGGGACGGCAAACAAGGGCAATGTTCGTGGCGGAGATGAGAGCTCAGGGTCCGAACTTGTGGCGAGGGGGTCTACAATCTTGTTTCGATCCGAGGTGGTACTACTCAGATCCTGGCATACCTCATAGGAGCACTTTCTCTTCTGCAAGGCCTCGGCGCGCACTGCCAGGGACCGGGCACACACAGTCAGGAGGACAATCAGAGTGCCCAGCAGTAAAGAAACCATTGGCCACAGCACACAGTGGAGCAGCACACTGGTGTCATGGGAACGCCGCCACAACACGTCGTCTGGCCTGCACAGAGGGGCACATGCACAGTGACTGAATCTGTATAGAGTATAGAAGGTACATTATTAAATACTGGTGTGATAATTTCAGTTGTTTTTATTGCTGATATGGATAGGAATTAGCACAGCAAAGTAGCATACAAAACTATATATTAGGGCTGGGCAAAAATAAAAAATTTTAATCACGATTAATCGCATGTTATACACAAAACCAATTAATGAATTAAAAAGTAGAGTATAGCGTTCTTTTATTGGAAATGTAAATGAAAGAGACAAACATTTGTTGTGCAAACAGCATTTCTTTCACAGGGGAACCATCAGAGCCTTCAAGGTATTAATTGAAGGCTCAAGAAAAAATATTGAATGGACTTTTGTACTACTAATATATTTACTGAATATTTTTTATGAGTAATGAACACTACACTAGTAATAATTTCTAGATTAGTGTTATAAACTTGGACTGATATTTCTTGGGAAACAAAGGGTTAATATAATGGAATGGAAATGGACCAATCACATTTTTTCTTCCAGTGGTATCTGGGTATATCAGTTACTCCAACACTGAACTAAAGAAACAAGCTCAGCTCAGAGCGCAGGGCTGGTCCGGCCAGAGCCTGTGCCCGCGGCCGAACCCGCGGCTCGCGGAGGTTCGGACACGTTGCATCTCACGTGGTCAGAAAAAAGTGAAAGAAGTGTAAAGAAAAGACGTCAAACTTAAAGAAACGCTTGCGGTGGACTTTTTCAAAATAAAAGCCAATGAGAAACAGCCATTTACAATAAAATAAATAAATAATAAAAACTGCGTTAACGGCGTTAAAATAATTGTCGGCGTTAATGACTTAATTAGTTAACGCAAAGTTAACGTGTACGGCCCTACTATATATATATATATAGTTTTTCACATAAGCACCACATAAGCTTTAGAGTTTTCCATATTAAACTCCCACTGGGCCCTGATGAAGAGAGAGGCCTTCCTTATTTCATTCTGCTGCTACAGTAAAAAAAAAAAAAAAAAAAAAAAATGCAGTAAAAGTAAGGTCACGCGTAAGCACTGTGTAACTGGGTGATTAAGCTGACAAAGAGAGTTCTCAGGTTTTTCACATCTTTTCAATTTTCACTATATAAGTGCTGACCTCAATTTAAGCTACTGGCTCATCTCAGTGTGGTATTAATGTTACAAGGATCCTCTAGTTCAGCTTCAATGGGTTTATGGCATACGGTCCAGCCATAGCACAAAAGTTATTTCTTTATCTACCCTTTCAATTCAATTTAATTCAATTCAAATGTTTGTCTACAACATTGCCAATTAGTCCTCAAAAATGCAACTATTGCTATGATAACATAATAACAATGGTAAAACATGTTTTGATGAACCAACCTGGACAACTGAGACATTAAACTTGTTTCCTACTTTTCTACACAAGCTGATGATACACTAATGCAGAACTGTTTTTTAAGTTTTACCACAGGCACTATGCCAAACAAAGTAACAGTTAGAAAGAGATAACCTGCAACCTAGTAAACGCTGAGGCTGGACACTATTGCCTTGAAATCTCCTTGGAAACAATGATCTGTCGCCAAGGTGAATTTTGCACATCTTGCACCTCAACATCTTTGTGTGAGAGTGGCCTCACCTCCTCTGCTGGTTGAAGAAGCAGGTGAAAGACTGTGAGCTGACCTCCCGGGTGAAGTAATCCTCCCACCACAAAACACTGTCCCTGTTCTTCTGGTTGTCTCGCTCACAAGGAGGGACATATGAGCACTGGAACACACACAGAAATACGCACCAAATAAGAGACTACCACACCATCAAATCAAGAGATATATTTTTAAATATAACAAAGTAGCTTTAGTGTAGGAACAGTGTGAATGATTCTGATATAAATTTAATAAACATGGCCTAACTATGTCCACAGATACAAAGTATTATAATGCTGATTTATTCTTAATTATAAAAACAATGGACATGATGGCCAAGTTGTTAGTTATAATTTGGTGTTTTAGTTTTCAAGATGATTATCAGAAAGTAGAACAAGCCAAAATTCAGTATGTTTAAATCTAAAAGCCTCTTCTATTTCCACTATGACTCATTAGTCTGTTGAAACAGATACATGTGATGCACTAAGAACAATGACAAATGGGGACGCAGAGACTGAGGCAGTTCTGGAAAAATACTGCTATTCAATATCTGCTGATACTGATACTGGAACTAATTTACAACACATTTTCGTTGTTACAAAGCATGAAGCTGATGTGCTTCCATCCTTCTGCTGTGAACCATATTACTGTCAGACCATTGTAATAGCTGCAGAAACACAAACATACTAGATCTCACTGTTGTTCTGGTATCTTCGTAGCGAGCTTACCCAGCAGGTTTCCTTAAATAATAACAGGCTGTCTCCCAGAATGCAGATAAGCTCGTTGTACTTATACTAGTTTCAGCACCTCACTCACAAGAGCATCACAGGAGGCTGATTGATGCCTGGCTGTTACTCTGGATCAAACTGCTGCAATAATGACGATGGTGTGATTGGCACAGATAACTTTAATGTGCGGCAATTAAGAAACAGATTACAATTCTCAACAAAAATAAGACAATAACACAGTATTTTTTAGATTTTAATTCATTTTACCACCAGAAGAATGATCTAAAAAGTAAACTCAATAATTATTATAGGCTACATAAGAATAATTTATTGATGCTATCATTTCAGATGGAGGACAGGAGTTGATATAGCTCTATGGTCGTTTCACTGAAACTGAACTACTTTATTTAACAACTGAAATATTGTAAGTATAGTAAATGTATGAAATGAACATTTTCATTATTGGATGAAAAATTAGGACCACTGCCAAAGATTTAAAACTAAATATGAATGTTAAAAGACCTCAAAATGGAAAACTGCAAAGAATGAAAAGGAAGCTGAATCTATGAATAGATCTGAATAAAGGTGTATAAATGGATTTATTCATTTCAGTAATAATAATGTTTAGAGTATTTGACAGATGTAAAATCAGTAAAATAACTTTGAGATGCATTATATTATATATATATATTTAATTAGTACATGTCCTTAAATGTAATATGTGTGTTGCATGATTTTGCTACTGTAATATTGACATATTTAGCAGTCACTCTATCAGCAAAGGCAACCACAAAGGACAAAAATATATTCTATACATGTTTGCTTATTCTTTCTCTTTGCATTCATATTGTTTCTTTCCACTCTCAGACTGTTCAGCTAATGGGTGTGAGCTCATAACGCTCCTCTGGCCTTCTATCAAATGTGCCCATAACTCTCTCACCAACTCCACATGGAAACACAGGGATAATTTAGGCAGTCTAGCTTTGGTTTTGTGCCCTTCATTAAACTTGAGATTGATTAAAATCCTTTGTGTGTGAGAATGGATGTGCATTTTTCTTTTACTGCTGTTAGAGACAGTTTCACTCCTTTAATTCCCACACACTGACTTGAACTGTATAAAATGTCTTTATGAGTGATAAAAAAATCAACATGTTAAATATTTGGTAGTCCTAACAAGTTACTATGATTGATACAAATACATGCATAATTTACCTACTTCCTGCTCTTGTAAAATGGACAAAAACATGAGAGAGGACATCTGGCATGAGTGATGATTTTGTTATCCAAAAGTAACTCCGTTCTTTCGGCTCCTGTCACTTAAGGAGCAGCGGTTGTACAAAGAGGACGGATTTCTAAAATAGAGAAAAGACGGAAGAGAAGGAGGCAGGTGGGTGGTTCAGCTCAGCCAATTAGCAGCTAAGTAATTTCCTCATTTATGGAATAATTATGTCATAAAAGTAAATGACAGGAGCTGTGGGATATCCAAAGGCTATCTCAGTATAGCTGACAGTTGAGGCTCCACTAAACATATATTAATGGCATGAACTGTTCAGATCAGAGCTTACTGAACTAATATTTTATTAATATTCAGTATTCAGTTAAATTATATGTCACAAACTTGCTCTAGAAGATGTGGGCAGTGATTTAGATGTTACAATAGCCTTGAGTCCCAATCATTCATGTAGTCTTACTTTGCAGTTTTTAAAGTAAACTTTGTGACATTACTTAGTAGAGCCCGACCGACATGGATTTTGTTGTGGCCGATATGAAACCGATATAATGGAAGTTGGAGCGATATAAAAATTCACTGTAAATCTTGAATTGATTAAAAAACTTAGGTTTGACTCTAGTGGATTCTAAATTGGGTTTATTTAGGCAACATTTATTGTTATTTTGACTCTTTACATCATATTTACATGCAGTAGATTGGCCTAATGGCACTTTTGCATCACATTCTAGCTGCTAGTGATGGGTATTCCAGTTTTTTTTGTTTTTTTTTTTGGAGAACCGGCTCTTTTGGCTCGGCTCACTAAAGCAGCTGGCTCTTTCGGCTCCCAAACGACTCTTGAGATTGTTTTGTTGCAACCAGGACTAAACCAAAACTGAACTAGGACTGAGTGTCGGGACTCGTTTCTATCTTTCTTCTTCACTCGAGCCCAAGATTAGTCCTGGTTTATTCATTTTATGCTGAACTGCAGCCAAATATGCACTTTTTTTTATCCTATGCACATGCAGATTTCTGAAAGTTTCGTTTTCAGCCGCTGCTGCTGTCAAACTACGGGTCTACATGCGGCATGAAGAGAAAAAGTGAGAAAAAGAGAAAACACGGCTCCCAATAAGAAGCAGGCTCCCGTTGTTCGCTTCAAAGAGCCGGATCTAAGAGCCGCTTCGATCGCGATATACCCATAACTCCTAGCTAGTAAACTATCGCTATTAGCCTTTAGCCGTAAATGCTGCGCACCGCGGTAGTTAATTATATGCATACATGTGGATCATTCACACGTCTATTCACAGCTCATTTAAATATCAATGCTTGTCCAGTAACAAATATACGGCCAATGTAGTCACTTAACAATAGACCAATAGAAAACAGCCTGTTTATGTGCGGGAGCTACAGCAGCTAACCGCTAACAGAACCTAAACTAGCTTCAAAGTCGATGTATTTCCAACACTCACCGCTCACACAGGCTCCTCCTCACATCACAAGTCTGCACTAATAAATGTCCTTTTAATCCAGACTCAAACCGATTGTCCGAGAAAGAATATAATCTCAGTGTTGCGCACGGCTGCGGGTGTAAACAAACACACACGAGTGAAGTGACATCACTCAGGTGGTGTGTTCAGGTACAGTACGGACACAGACAAATGACTCCGCAGATAAATACTGATGCGGAGCCACATATTAGGACATTTATCTGTCTGTAAATTGGATTAAATGAGAGTCTAAGCTTTATAACGAGGTATAACATGCCCACGTGAAATATCGCCCATATCAGCAAGCATATCGGCCGATAGCCGATATGTCTCCAGTTGCCCATATTGGCCGATAATATCGGCCAGCCGATATATCGGTCGGGCTCTATTACTTAGTATTGCAGCAGTATGTTTCTCTTTTGTTAACGTAAGCCATTTTTGTTAAATACTTTAATACTTTACTTTAATAATTGGAAAGATTCTTCTATATGTTTTAATCTTAAAAGGCAATATGACAATGCTGTAAAAAAAATTAACGTGATAAAACTCAGCAGACATTAAACTAAGCTCAAAATTATGAAATGCCTTATGTAATCAGAGAAGGATGACGATCACAGTAATGTAATTTTATGCAAACTAAATTAATTAACTGGGACGCCATGAGGAACATTAGAGTCCTCTGCCAGGGCCTGGAGTCAGGAGATTATTTGTCTTTAATAATTTCTGACATTTCCTGACAGGCTGTTTTCACCTGTTTCCCTTCTCTGTAATAGCCCTGAGGAGAGTCAAACCCTTTAACTGCTCTGGACTTACTTCTCTTTTGAACTATTTAAATGTCACTGTGCACTATACTTTTTTAGGGTTCCAAAACATTCACACAGTCAGGATTGTAAGATTGTTGTCATAGTAACCTCAGATATGTGTCAGGGCAGTCCACATGAAGTCCTCTGAGGAAGTTGTGTGAAGGCCGATCTGATTTGATTCATCAAACTCAAATCAAAACTGCAAGAGGAATGGTCACAGTTAGAAAATCTCAAAGTTTTCCATCCTTTGGTTTCATCATGACGAAAAAGTAGGATGCTTTGTAAAACAATATTTACTATTTACTCTTTTGAATGGTAAGTTGCCTAACAGGGATCTAAGACCCTTAATAACACATCTAAACTCTGCTCTTAACTATTTATTCAGACAAAATTTTTTCTGTAATTGTTTTTTTTTATCAATGTTTTAAGTTGAACAATTAAAAAAAATAAAATAAAATACACATATATACATCATCTGTCAGTAAATTGATGTCCATCCTAACATGTCCATCGACACCAAAAACCAGTTACCAGTATCAATGTATACCCATCCCAACATGCACCAATGCTGAAAAACAATCGCCCAAATACGCCAAAACTAGCACCGGCTGAATAACCCCGGAACCAGCTCCATCCACACTGGAACTATCACTAACCCTTTAACTGCTCTGGACCACACGACAAGATTGATGAGACCACCATTCTGCACCAAAGATCACATCCAACTATCCAGAGAAGCACCAAGATTAAAAGTACGTTTCCCAGCTCCAAGACCAAGCTCAGTACTTCAACGCCCGGACAACACAACGCAGACATACAAACACAAATACACAGACATGCATGCACAAAAAAAAAAAAACTCTTCTATTCTAATCTTCTATTTTGTACATTTTACATTAAAGGTGCATTGTGTAACTTTTCTGGTGGAAGGTCCCTAAAATGCTTTTCTCAATGGAAATGTTATTACTTTGTCTGGAATGTTTCACAGTATGGTATTAAACCTTTCTATCATTATGTAGACCAAAACAAACCAAGTTATAGGTCAGATCTGTGAAAAGGCATGCCTGTTTTTCTAGGTATTTTTGAGCAATACCACCACTGTAATTGAATAAATGTAAGACAGAGCTGTTTATTGTCATACTGTATAACATGCCAGGCAAAGCAATGACATCTCCAGTTCTCCATAGAAACAAGCAGGTGACGGACCCTCCACCAGAAAAGTTACACAATGCACCTTTTAAAAAAATCTCCAGCAGTGAGTTTAAGAGTTAATAATTTATATATGAGTGCCTCAAGTCAATGTTTTAGAACCAAACCAACCCAATTATGTACCATTTAGCATCCAGTCGTACATACATTCAGAGGGCTGATGCCTGTCAGTCCAGCTGGGTTTGATCTTAATGTCATGTCACTCATTTGGTCCACAGGAGGCTCCATTAACTAATCACCCCCTGAGGACACTACACTAATTACCTCTTTTTCGTTCTGTCTATCTCTCCCTCTCCTCTATCCCTCCTCCTCCTCTTTCTCTCTCTGTCGTTCACATTCTGTCTCTCACTGAACAGTCGTCACCTACTTCACAGGTCACTAATGTTCCCTGTCCATCTGCTGCCCTCATTAGCTACAGGTAAAAGGTTACACAAATTAAAAAAGACTCTGGGTTTATCAGCGTGATTAAAGAAGATATATAATTTTGTATGACACATGTGGATGTTATTTTATACATGGGGTACGAATTAAAGAGAAGTGAGCACGTATCAGTGATCAGTTGAAATAAGAATTGTTCTCATCCATGGTGTCTTGATGCAAGAGAATAAACATCACTTAAACATGCATGAAATGTCCTAAATACAACTGGGTAAATGAAAAAAAACTAAAGTTAAGTTCCCTTTGCTAATGACTGGACCTTTCTTGAATAGTTTTAGAATGGCCTTGATCTATATCAGATATTAAAGCAACTACTAATATTTGTGTTGAAAATTTTCTTCTGTTGTTTAAAAAATATAGTTTTTATTGTCATTGTGATATCAAAATTGGTACTACTTCAAGTAAGTATTGCAATCATTGAACCATTTAAGATATACTTAATGAAAAATCTGAATCGTATGAAACCAGAATTAGAACTTTCTTGCTGAAGTGTGAGTGCTGGCCACCACACCACCAGTTAGCTACGAACAGGTGAGCTTGTTCCACTTCCTCCCTGCGCACCGCACATAGACTTAATTTATAATGGATGTAAGGGATGCATGTAATTGTTTCGTGTTGTGCCTGTATCAGTCAGCCACATCCGTTTTGTAACTGCGATGTCATAAAACACAAACCAATTATGAATTAGAGATAAAAAAATTTTTTTTTTAAAAAGTGCATTAAATAAATACACTGAATGTAAGGATGGTAAGATTAACAGATTTCATTTTTAACATATATATTCATGACGGATGATGCAATGAGCAATATAACAAATACCATAATAATAATAATAATAATAATAATAATAATAAGTAATAGAATGTGACCCTGCAATAATCTGCGAGTATGGGGAGAAATGTTCCTAATGCAGCTTTTTCCTCTCAAACACTGACACATGCTTTGTACTTTTACTCACACACTCACAATCAGAGTTTACTTTAGTTACCTCTCCACCAATAATTAATAAGTCATATTTGTGAATCATGAACAAAATGAAATTGTGATTTGAGCTAGGATTAATGTGGTATGTTAATGTACATTTGGATATATGATTGGAAAAGGCCTGTTTCAAATTTTTAAGCTTCTACATTGTAGATGTATTTCCTTATTGTTTAACTGGTCTTTAAATGTTGACTTTTGGGTAATTTGCTAAGAACTCTCCTCCCTTAAAATCATTGAAGATGATTTTAAGATGAAGATGAAGTCTTTAACGAGGCGTGACATGTCCATCTATCTCTCGCATACTCCTGCCTCTTTACATCATCCCTGTTGTAGTCACCATGGCAACTAAGCACCACTGATGACGCGCCGTCTCCCTCTATATTTACTTGGTTGCTGTAGTGACGACCCAGACGTGCACTGAAGAAGAGTAATGGCCACTAACTGTAGTGATTTCACCACCACAAAACTGATAAACTCTCTGGAGACGATTACCCAAGATGGAGATATAAAAGAAGATGGTATTTGGGATTTCCTAAAGTTTTGAGTGACAGTAAATATAGTCTCAAAACTTGACCAAATGTTACTTTGCCAAAATAGTCCTACTTACATCAGAGTATCTTTATTGCTAATTTGGACTAACAAATAAATGGAACTTACAAGAATATACAAATACTACAACTCCAAGTGTGTTATCTTGGTTGTCCAGGTTCCAGTAAACAGAGTCCTTCCAGCTAGTCCCATGTCCAAATAAATCAAACAAACAAAATTATCAGGCATCTGAGTTAAATGCAAGATAGGATATTACAGACAATTGGTAAAATGTCAGTTGTAATGTTGTGCATGAGCAGCTGAACATGAGGCATACACTGTCAGCTTCACATGTCAGCTGTTTACCGTCCCCTGTTAATGGGGCTCTCCCTGAATACTTTAATGATGTGTTGTGTCTATCTGCCTCTTTCAGAGCCATGGACAGCAAGGGTCTATTTTTGGGCCATTCATGACTTCAGGCAGCTGCACTAGGAAAACCAATCAGGGTAAAATTCTCCTGACGCCTTGCTTGAAGTAAATAGAAACACAAATATGTTTCTCTGGCATGGGACCCCCTGTGCTGCAGCTATTATACGATTGAGCATTACTTTCTTCACATGCTCTACACCTGTGGCTTTCAATTGTTTGGCAGTGCTTATGTCATATTGATGTAATTTTGGTAATTATACAATTACAATATGACATTTGAATATAGCTTTTTCCTTGCATGCTCCTTACAGCTAACGCCTCGAGCAGGTTAAAGACTGACATTAAAAATGACAGAAAGGATATGTGGGGTAAAAGCAGAACTTGTACCTAGAATATCTTGAATACAAAAAAACAAGTTAGCGGGAGTAAAGGCAGTGGTTATAGTGCATACTGTACTATTAACAATGATATTATTATCAAAAGTTCTGTGGGACCCATTTTTATTCATTACATTTTTTTTTTTTTTGCATTTTATAGAATTAAAACAATAAGTTATAGCAATATCTACAAATTCGTAAGAATTGTGACTGCAAGTCCTGTCTCTCCTTCCCACATTTTCTTTTTCTAATGTATCAAAAGGCCAAAAAAGCAAAATTTACAACACAAATAAGATAAACCCAGAAACATAGCCCTTTGTCACTTTTGACACTAAGAATCTAGATTTCACCTGCTCTGCTCGCCTCCTCTCTGTACACTCATATCTTAAACTGCCATTTTTAATAATTTAACTTTGTGATAGTTTTCAGAGATAAACATAATCTTACCTTTGGGTTGAGAACCAGTTGTTGCTCATCGAAGTGCAGCAGAGCCACAGAGTTCGACTCTGAGTTGTTGACAAAGATCTGTAGGCAGGGATACAGGGACGTGCCCTTACAGTCTGCCCCGCATGTAAACACACATTCAAACATCTCCTCAGGTCGCAGTACGGACACCACCTGTACACACACACACACACGCACACACACACAAATCATTACCTCCACTAGTTACCTGTCCTTGCACTGGCAACTGCCAACATACATTTTAACATATAGTTATATCAAACAACATAGTAGATTGTTGGAGGATGAAACTAGATCATTTGGATCAACCATTTGTACATTCCCTTTTGCCTGTATTTTTATAAAAAGTTAAGTCGCAATGATCATGCTGTAAAGAATAGTGGTATAGAGTATTAAATGGGGGCAACAAATGACTACTTAAAAGAAGGTCACTTACAGGGATTATTTTCTCCATTTGTCAACTCATTTTATATAGCCTAAAATTTCTCATATTATCAAAGTAGTTTTTCTTTATTATAAAGATTGATTGGTCACTGTTACATCTGATTAGTTGTTGCAACTCTGGTTAGTAGGCTAGTAAGGCACAATTGAAAAGTGGGCTTATAACTTACATTTTAGAACTGGTACAAATATAATGTAGCAAAAGCTTCATCAACCACAGTAAGCAGGACGTTACACTGTAGCCAATGGTAATTTATGTCAAGAAAAGCTCAGAAATGCTGTGCAAACAGTTTCTGTCGTCCATAATGAAAGTGACACAGCACTAGGACCAGACCCACACGATATGGAGTATTAAAGTTATTCATGAATATAGCACAAAACTATTTTACAATGAACAAATAGCCTAGATTTGAAAACAAAACAAACCATTAAACCATCACTCCTGTAATATGAAATAGGCAATAAAGAAAGTAGATAAACTGATGTTTAAGACATCTGGACCGTCCAAGTTTAAGACACAGTGATCAAAGGGTGATAGCAGCTCTGAGTGAAATGAGATAAAGGTCCATTATCACTGCGTATCAGAGAGATGTCCAGAACAACACTTCAAAAATATGGGCAATAGACACTGGGATTATTGAGTTGCTGACCGAATAGAAGCCCTAGTCTGGAAGTCACCATTTAAATATAAATCAATAAGCAATTAGACCGTTTTGATACATGCTATAAAAACACTGCAATAACTACACATTTCATTTTAGCTAATGCAACACAAATAGCCTTACTTGGAAAATTGAATAGATTGTTCATGCTATTTATTACAGACAAAATGATGCGATACTCAATTACAATCATTTCTAAAATGTAGAAATAGTGATAAAATACGCTTTTTGAAGCAGCATACTATCACCACCGTCAAAGACCTCTAGTGCAGGGACTCGGGTGATTGTGCGGCTCGTGGCGGGGCTCACCGTGCAGTTGGCCGGCTTGCTCTGGAGGCTCTGGAGCGTGGGGCTGAGCCAGCAGAAGCCCAGGATGAAGAGGCTGAGGATGCCACAGGCGATCAGGAACAGTCCCAGTCTTATGCTCTTGTCTTCAGCCTCAGAGTACTCGTACGACACCCGGATTTTCGCCATGGCAGCCCCGCGGAGCCCTCCACCGACAGCGGCATTGAGAGGTGGGCTGGAGGACCGTGTGGATGTGTCGTGCTGCGGAGAGTGGAAATCAGAGCCCGGCTGTTGCCTCTCTGAGCGGTTTTATCTGTCTGTGAGTTCACGTGCTCCCGCCTCCGCCTCAGATGGTGTTTTCTCTGAATTTGTCCACCGGCTTTATTCTTACATCTGTTGCTCTGTCTGTCTGTCATAGAGCTTTTATTAAGCTCACAGTGACGGGCAAGTCCAGCACACGCCCACGTGCATGGAAACTCACCTGTTGAATTAGGCTATATTAACATTGGGCAGTTTGTACCAAACTATAACCTAGATATAATAGATTTGGTGATCTCAAAAACACAACTGCACCTTGTAAAGAAGGCTACATTTTCTATTAAAACTAATCTGCATGCTCTAGGCTGCCTGCCTCTCCACATGGCACACTAGTACAGGCTATGGCAGCTAGAGGCCTATTACCGAGTTTCAATTGACAGCACAACATTGATCATCTATAGCCCAACATCAGGCTACTTGGTAGAGATGAGGGCAGCTAAAATTAATGAATGAAAATTGCAGATTTTTGTTCTATAGAGAGCTCTTTTTGGACATTTCATGTCAAAATACAATGTAATCAGTACAAAAACTGATTCTTGTCCCTAGAATATGAACCCACCCATATCTAGACTGTAAGTGAACATATTTCACCAGAAAAACTGTTTTCAGTCATCAAGCTGTATGCTAAGTCTACTGAAATCATTTCACACATTGGTCTCTTGTTTTAAGGCTGGGGTTTAATGGAAAACCCTCTTTGGGCCTGAAGCAACACAACATTAGGTGTATGGAGCAGGCTAAAGTTTTGAAAGCCAAACTTTTGCTCCTTATGGCTAACAGGAAAACTCATGAGAAAAACAATGCTACAGAAAACCTTCCTGCTTGGCTTCATGCCTAAATATTTACCTCCACATATTTTTTTTACTGTTATAGTTGTGTTCCTTCATCTTATAACCTAGACAAGGGTACATTTTTGTCTAAATTGAACTTGCACTTACAGTACAGTACAGTGTATTAAAACACTAACCATACAATCAATAAAGCCATAGTTAAGCGACACATAAAAAATCTCTTTGTCCTTTACTGTGAATAGTGTATATAATCTGCAACTATGACTGTTACAGGTGACGTGTGTGGCTTTCCCCAGTGGCCTGATGATGATTCAATCCAGATTTGTGTTTTACTTTGTGTGGGCGGCTGCTTGTTCTCTCACAGTTACATGCAGCAGAGATAAGCCTCTTAACATGGAGGCAGCACATCACACAGAAAAGCACTCTTTTCATTCAGGCCAAACTGCTGCCAAAATATAAGTGCGAAGCAGGTCTTTTAAATAGAAGTCTAATTTCGGTAGGGTAAAAAGAGATACAATCACAACTGAACCTGAGTGAGAATACAAAAAGAATGATCTCATTAGGTGATACCTCACATAGCTGCTCTCTGCATTACTTCGTGTACAAATTGTGCTATACAAATAAATTTGCCTTGCCATATAATTAGTTGCACAAAAATGGCTGGCTGCAGGTGGTGCAGAGGTTTGATAGTGAGCATTCAGAGAGCGCTGAGATGCAAGGATTTGGCAATCTAAAGTGAGGTAAAATACGCTTTATTGTTTCCATAGGTAATTTGTCATCTGCATTTGACCCATCCACCAGTGCCCTGGGGCAGCCTGCCAGGAGCAGTGCTAACTAGTGGTTTAAGTGCTCATCCTCCACCAACCCAAAATTCAGTAGGTCGAACCCCACTTGGTGCACATTGTCATTGTGTCCATGTGCAGAACACATCACACACATTGTCTGTGTATTAATGTGGTGTGAATTTTGAAGAATGTCTTTAGTTGTAGCTATAAGTACCACAGAATATATGAATGAATAACAACGTAAACAAATGCATAAATAACAGGTGTTATCAGTTATCAGTATTAAATATTTAATCAATATTTAAGTCAGGGGGCAGAATTACAAAAATATTTGAGGTAGAGAAGCCTAAAGAAGTATGGGCTATAAGTCAGACTTTTTCTCATAGGCCATCAATAATTTATTTTATAAAAAATATTTGTTTTCACATTACTGTTGGCTACATTAAAGAGGACTAAAAATTCATTTTGTGTCATGGTGCCAATGTGAAGACATTTCATTCATGGCAATCTGTAACAGCCTAGACTTTACTATTACTATTTTTACCACTATTTTCTATGATGGTTTAAAAATTCAAACTGGGCTGGTGAAAATAAAGCCAGTATTATGCATTAGTAATCAGGGAGGCATGTGACTGGATTATTACCATCTCTGCAGATCAAAAGATTACAAATAATAACAGACATCATCGTGCAAGGAGTCTGCAGGGAATCGTAACCACAGCAATGTAATTAATATACTAGGGTCTTGTGCTAAAATTGACTTTTATGAGTACTTCAGAAGCCAGTTTATGTTTAATTGTCTTTTTTTTTTTTTCCATCTCTATAAAGGGATGAATATTTAGGTCTGATTTACAGAGGTTGCAAATGCACAAAGATTAAAAGTGTTAAAAATCTGAATTCAGATACATTTTTAAAATTCTATCAAATTAAAATTTACTGTGAAAAAAGGCCAAATTATAGACAACTGAGAAGCCCACTGACAATTTTGTTGGCAAAAATAGAAACTAATCAGTTAGCTTCCTGTTCAAAACTACTGTTAAGTACATAGGTGCATATGATACAAATTTCTCTAAAACATATTTAACATCATTATATTTAAGATTTTACAAAAAAAAGAAAAGAAAAAAGTCTAGTCTAGTTTTGGACACATGCAGCAGATGTGACATACCTAGAGGTTACCTAGCAACCATAATGTAAATAAGGGTGAAAGAGTTATGATTTGACAGATAAAAATAAATGACAACACATTTGTTTTAGTAAATTAATATTTTAACTGTCTGAAAAATGTATTCCTTGTGCGCATATTTTTGCTGAAATAATGACAATTTACAACTCAATGCTACCTTTCAACTTTTTGTTTTATACTTTTCTTGAAAAAATGCTACTTGACTGATGTAAAACTATGATAACTATTTACCACAGGTACTAACAAACTGTCAAATGCACTTTAAAGATGCTTGTAACGCAAGTAACCTTCCCCGCTGTTATTTTTTGTCAATGATCCAGTGACGTGGCGCCCTCTCGTGCATGAAAAGTGCTCGTGTTTGTGTGATTTGCAATCGGCTCGTTTACCTGTACCTTTGCCTGTTTTTAGGTAAAGTAGGCTAAATCTTAACGGGGGAATGGTGACTACATTATCACATATCCTGGTAGCCAGATTGGTGCTCTGAGCTTATACAAATAATGAAACACATGTTTCATGGTCCAAACAGTTCATCAAATAATTTCAATAAAATGAGAATGCCATATAAAGTTTAATTATCAGAATATTTATTTTAGAGTTTCCCTTTAAAACTCTAGCTGCCATTTTCTATATAAAACAAACAGCCAAGTGCCTCAGTCCACTCATCAGTTGCATGTCATTGCTTGGTGCTGTGTCAAAAAGCTGTTGTTGATGGCATCTGCTGTTGAGGCAAGTGTGGTCCATTGTAGTTGGCCTCCATTGTGCTCCCTCCGTCTATTATTACTTTAACAGCTGGAGATGGGAACTGTATCTTCTTGAGTTACATTCACTACTATTGAATGCATTCTTTGTAGCCTAAAGCATCTGAATGAAATTTAAAAAGTAAAAAACTGAAGAATGACAAACCAGCAAAAGGAACTCAAAGCATGTAAAATAAAAATACAAGCATGTGATAGGAATAACTGTCCTAACTTTGATCAACTAAATGTCTTTGTAGCAAAAGTGCTATTAATTTTTAAATTTGGGCAATTACAAATGTCAGTTTACAGAAATACTTAATGCACTATTTAAATATGATAAAATATGAACACTGAGCATTTTTTCTTCTTGATATAATTACTACTACTGGTCTTAAACGTGGGAGATAAATTACTTCCACATAATAGGCAGGCACAAAACAAAAGAGATTTTCATTTTTTATTATGAAATAGTGCTACAATGTACATTGCATTTCCTCTCCTGACTGTGCTGACTGTCTGCTCAAGGATGTATGATTTGTAATGCCAAAAACCAAGTAGGAATAAAGTGAAATCACAAACCTTTTCTTTTACAGTGAACGAACAGTTGCAACACAGCAAGCACAGTACAAAATAATTATCCATCATAAAAGGTGATCAATAATGTTGAGTTAAAATCTAGTTCTTCTTAAAATGAAGTGAAAAACTTCTCTAGTCAAAAATAGTCACATTTTAGAGTAGAAATATGAATCACTCAATCAGATGGACAGTTATTGACAGTGCTGCCTGTGCATGTTGTAATCAAGCTGTGCTGCATGTAACAGACCAAGCAAACTTATAAGGAGGGTAAAATTAAAAAATGAGGTAAAGGAAAAATATAATCTGAAAGTTAAAATCAGAGTCTTTTCTGGAGGAGATATAACATGTTGTCCTTTGTCCTGATTGGCCAGATTTGCGTTTTGTGTGCAGAACAGAAGAACCCAGTGAGTGATTGTGAAGCCAAAAGGGCCACATGGCAGGAGATAGGAGAGCCAATCAAAAGGCCTGCTGGGCAGGATTGTAGTTGAAAGTAGAGGGAACATGAGGTCGCTCTTCCAACTTATCATATTCCAAATGAAACTCCTAAAAGCAAGATGTTAGAGTGACAATGTTAGAGATAACATAACACACTTCTGTACTTATATTTTTTAAAAGTGTCAAAATAAAAACTTATGTTTGAACCTTGGCCACTTTTCTCCAGTTGAGGCAGTCGAAGAAGTAGTAGGTCCCTCTCTCATAGGCATTGGTCTTCAGCGTGGGCTCCATACCAGGGGCTCGGGTGATCCAAACCCGCTCCTCTTTATGGTACCTCCAGTCCCTGTTAAACCTATGCCAAAAGTTCATCATTATAGCTTTATGTTTGGCACAGTAAACATCAACACAGTTGTACAGATTTGTACTTACAGTTCTACTGCAGCCAGTAGTTGTAGTAAGTCTCCTCCATTCATATAATAGAGATAAAACAGCAGATCTTCGCCATACCGAGACAGTTTTATAGCTGCTAACTGGAAGTCAGAGAGGGACAAAGAAACCTTATGAAAAAGGGAAGTACATTGTGATATGACATTGCTTGTAGAAGATTTTACCTTGTCCCTTATATGGATGTTGGTTAAATACTCTGAAGGGACATGGAAGTCTGCACAAAGGAAACACTGTTCAAACAACAGGCTATGGCTGATATTAACAAGCTGTAATTTATAACAACCAACCTATGTCTTGTGGCCGACAAGGAGCAGATGCCCACGGTGACGCAAACTTAGGATACAGATTCCTAAACAGGAGATAAAATAATAGACCACTGAATAACAATAAAAGACTTCGTTAGAGTACACATATTCACATAATGGTAATTAACCCATGCAAATTACAATTATAAGAAAATACATACAAGACCAACATTGAGACTGATACAAAGGCCTAATAAATGTGTCTTACTCAGGTGAGTTCAAGTTGAGCCCGAGTGTAGTTAAGTCAGATCCCAACGCCAAGTGCACCATGCCTGGATCAGTCTCTGCTGCCCGGATGAACGTCAGCAATCCAATCATCCCAAACTGGTCCGTTACCATGCCAGCTGGGATGTTTGTCACCCGTCCTGAATGTTACAGGCAAGACATTAAGAAATACATGCTGCAAGGGATGAAAACGCTCTCTCTGTATTGTGATCACATTTCTAAGCACATCCAGGAGAAAAGACAAAAAGACTGAAATAGGTCTGTAAATAAACAACTTATACAAGAAATCATATGAATTTCAGGACATTACAAAGACCTCATACTCAGACATCATATTAATCTGAACTACAGTACTTGAAAAGTAGGACAAGTAGATTGTGTCTCACCATCTGGAAGAACCTGGATCCCTTTCTTCTGTTGATTGTTGTTGCTCGATGCTACAGAGCTCTTGTCCCCCGGAAACTTTGGACCATCTGAGTTTGATGTGGACTTCCCTGATGAGTTCAGATTCTACAGAAAAGAGACAAATTGGTATCTGTGTTCTACCACAAAACTACATATAACATCATGCTAACCGTTTTACTGTCTTCATTAGTGCTTGTTGGATCTTTTGTTTGGTAGTTTGGACCAGGGAGAGCTGGGAAATCTTCATTATGAATGGAGAAGTCCTGTGATTGCTCACTGGACGGTTTAGTTACCATGCCAACTAAACATTAATAGAAATACATGTCTATTACATTAGAAAACGTTAACTCATTTTATTTAGCTTAAACAATACATGTTTTCGAACCATAGGGTGCTCGACCGGCCAGCGGGTTGAGCAGTGGAGTTGGATTTGAATTTCCATCCCTCCGACTCCTGTCGGCTAATGCAGGAAAATCTGACAGATCCAGCCCCGTCACATTTTCACTGCCATCTAGAGACAGACAATAGAAAAAAATGAATATTAATGTACTCTATGCAAACAAACATAAAAAGAAATAAAGCCTGCCCCCCACTACAGGATTTTTGAGTCTTAAAGAAATTTAAACGTGCAACAAAAACTGTACACCACAGACATGAGAACTGGATGACATTTTAAATCTCAGAGCACAAAGACTATAGAGATGAGACAGTGAACCATAAGCTAAAAGTTGTGAGCCATCAAGCTGATGAACCTTGCATCAGCTGTTTCCTATCCACAGTAAAACAACTTGCTTTGAGACTTAAGTGTTCAAAAGATCAGAACACTGCACTTCTAGTTTAGATGCAAATAAATAAGACAGGAAGTAGAGTTGTGTTTAGTATAGCAGCAGCTTCACCCTGATCCGTGCAGCGTAGATTTATAAACAGATAAGTGATGATCTACTCTCACTTTTTTACTTTTTAAAGAACGCTTCCAACTGGACTGTTTTGTAGACTGGATGTTATTATTTTGTGGAGAACACATTCTAATGGATAAAATGGATGAGAATGCTGCAGTTTATCTTTATTTTCGCTGTGTCCTAACTTTCTTGCATCAGGGACAAATTGAGTGTGTCTGTCAACTGTTGCTCTGTTTTATTGTTTGGTGCAGTGAATGTGAGGTTTTGTGGTTATGGTATGACAGAGCAGATCAATGTCACACTGAGACCACACACAAGGAGTGCAGTGGCTCAAAAATAGCACACAAGGTAAAATACAACATCACGTCATGCCTCCCCAAAGTCAAGCAAATCGGGTCCTAAATCAAACAAATGACCCTGTAGTGTGGCTTAATTGGCTGCATTTTTAAGAGGACTATGAAGACCTGATTTGGCTCTCCACAAGCAGAGACAATTGATTGTTGGAAAAATACCTTGTCTGTGGTCTGCACACTTTGTGTAATGTCTTAAAAATGACAAAGACCTTAAAAACCTCTAGTGATCAGCCGGTTTAAGTGGGATAAGATAGGACTTTTACCTGTGCCATTGAAGATATTGTTAGATAAGGAGTTGTTCATGTTAAAGCCTGGATTCCTGTTGACCCCAAACCCTGACATACTGGGCAGAAACACACACAAAAACATAATTTATTTATTTTGAAAAATAAGTTATTATATAGAAACAGTAGCCTATGTTTGTACATATGTAGTAATTGTAAACCAAATATACATGTTTTTGCATTAATGGGGAGTCGATATTTGATATGCACTATCTAATGAGACAAACCGCCTCTTCATTTTATAATAAACTAAATGTAAATGTTTAATAGCATTGAAAATAGCTTTGAATTGATGCTTATGGCTTACCTGTTAATTGTAAACGGTTGCCGTGCTTGTTGCTGCTTAGGCATCCCAATGATGCTTGGTGACGACCGACTTGGGCTGCCCATGCTGCCACTCCTGCCACCACTGCCTCCACCTCGCTCTCCCCCTGTTCCAATACCTCCAGACTGCCCCGTAGGACCGCCGACCTGCTGACTATGGTTCAAGACATTGCCTCTGCTCATAGGTAAAATACCCCTGCAGCAAAACAAGAACATTATACAGCTTTGAATTCAACAAAATGGTCCACGAAAAGTATGGTCCTGAGAGTGTACCTGCTGGGAGAAGGTGGCGTGTGCATTGTGCCTGTGTTTGGTGTACTGGCATGACTGGAAAGCTGGCTGGCAGATTGGTTCAACCCAGTTCGACTAAGCTGAGGCGTCCCACCACTGTTCATACCACGCATAGGAAAACCCAAAGCACCTGTACAGACAAAGAAACATTGTATATTGTGTGGACATATTATGCGGCCCTTAGGACCAACGCAAAAATACAATTATATTAAATCCAGATTTTAAGTAAAGTAGCACAAGCAGGTATTTTCTGTATTAAAATAAATCAAAAAGAACTATTAAAATTTGACAAAAAGTCTGTCTTACTTTGCGGGCCATATAAGCTGGCTCCTAGCTGCGACAATTGACTCGTTGAGGAGGCAGAAGATGATGTCAACATCTGGATGCAAAACAATACAATTTCAGTTAAACAACATGTCAGCATTACAGATATAAAAACAGAGGTGTTTTTTCCACATACAGTACAACTGAATGTTTTGATCAAAAATATATATAAAAAAACTACACGAAGATGGGTTGCAGTGAAATATTTCTCAACTGATCAAACATACACGCCAGACTGATATGTGTGTCACTCTGAATTGAGTTCTATACATTGTCAATCTGCAATGATTTTCCATGAAAGTAATCAGAAAATGTGTAATGTCATGACGATTGTTTGAATCTAATTGGTTGAAGTGTCACAACAGCAGAACAAGATGAAAAATCTAACATTTGTCACATCCAGTAGAGAGAAAAGCATAGACATCTTCCCTGTCCAGTGTCCAGAAATGCACAAAGTGCTTACCTTCTGCTCGTTTTTCACAAAATAGTCCATAGAGGCTATGGTTCGTTTGGGTGTTTCGCCCTTGACTTCACCACAAACCTCAATGCTGCTCTGTGATTGATGAGCCAACCACCTTTCTGGATTAGGCTGCATTTATGTGATGATAATTTAAAGAGCCCATAGGTTAAAATATGGTAGGCAGCCAAAAAGAAATCTATGGACTTTACTGTTACATATGGTTTGAGCAGTTCAACGGTTAACATGACTGAGCCAAGCATAAATTAAGTACCCTGAAATAATTGTGTCATATTAAATTTAAAAAGTGGTGATGTTGTTCAATCATACAGATATGATTTGGAGACAAGAGATATATAAGGGTAACATGCGTGGAAATATACAAAAACATACCTTACTTGTAGTATTTTTTTGTTTTGTTTTATTTAATTAAGGTTCAGAGGCTGTGATATTTTAGGATTCCCCATCATTTACAAATTCTTTTCAGAATGGAGCACACTGGGTTAAATCCACAGAAACATGAACAACTGAGGAGTCTTGGAGAAAAGCTGGTGAGTACGAGCATACAGTAAAGCACTGAATATGGCCCTATTTAATTAGGAAATAAAAAAATAAGCAGTAACTATGTAATATGACTATATAACCCAAGAGAAATGAGAAAATGCTTTACAAACATGTTCTTTGAACAATGACATAAAATAGCAGAACCACAACAATGATGGATTGAAATTATCTCCAGCTGGAACATCTTATTATGAAGTGGAAAATCTCCTCTGAATTTACCTTATCAAAGCTGCTGAGGAAAGGTACAAGGTGTTGTAACTTCTATCTAGTAACAGCACTCAATGTGAGGTTTTGCACACAGGTATGGTTGTTAATTGAGTATATTCTATTAGCTCACATCTTTGTCAGCGCGGTGAGGAGGGAACATGGATTGCTGGCTGTAGTAGAGGCTGGTGTCATCTGTGTAATCGCTCTCTACCCCTCCCTCCATAAACTTCTTCCGGTTAGCACCAAACATGCCGTGTGTCACCTGCAAAGCACACATTTTGAACATAGCAACAGCTTCAAATATGTATTCTGTGTGTATTCTTTTTTAGAACATTATTAGTCACTTGTTAGAGCTGAGCAATGCAAGAGGACTTCTGTGGAATCACAAGGATTACCAAGTTCTTTGATGGAAAATCATTTGTGAATAAAATTACAAATATACCTTAATGTATCACAAACATGTGATCAAGTAGTTATTGGGATTGCAAGATGTGCTGCTTTTAAAGTATAAATTCCCAAATAGAGATAACAGGAACCAAAACTTGTTAAAATGGACAAATTAGGATTAGCCACATAATATCACAAAAGGTGGTCACTAGAATTCCATTTAAATAGATCTTGTGGAGAAAAAAATAGATATTGTTTAGGTTGATTCTTCTTGTTCTGTGTATATAATTTATCAAGAGGTTCTTCGGACCCAATTTCTGCAGTATATGTCTATTTTCACTGCCCACAGTGAGACCTATATTTGTCTCAGTACACAAGACTACTTTGGCACTACTACTGCTTTGACAGCGGTACTTAATTAAAAAAGATCAAACAATAAGTGCTCATTTCATGGTGCAGCACTGTCGCAAAAAGGCTGCATAGTAAGAACTACATAGCTTGAACAAACTTAACAGAGCACTGTGTAACCGGTTGTTTGTATACTTCACAGTTAAATAACACGAACAACCTGTGATAAATATTAGAAGTAGCTCATGCTGTGTACTAGCGCTCTATGCTAACGTTAACAGCTATTTTTATATCAACATACATGTTAGCATATGAGCTAACACACTGTACAATGCATGCATTTTAGATAAATATCACATAAAGGGAACCTCAACAGGGAATGACAAAACAACTACAGCGACTATAATGTAAAATGAGTGGTAATTTGGGTCCAACTTTGACAGTTGACGAACAAAATACTGTTTATTTGTGTTTGGGCCTACTGCGCCTCCGTCCGTGAGTTTTCCACACAACAACAACAGAAAGCGACTACTTGTTTTAGCAAACAAAATGTGCGTACCCACATGCCAAGCATTTCACAGTGGCGTTATATCGCACGGGCACATCTTAAAGGGATTACGGTGCATGTAGTTTCTGAAAAAAGAAAGGCTTTAAAACGAATAAAAAGACTCACCGCATCAATCTTTCTTCACCGCTACAATCCAAGATGGCCGACATCCCTTCGCCAATCAGCGAGGATGCTGGGATGCCTTTCGCCTCTGACCTCTGAGCCTCCATCACTCACACCATGGTAATGTGTAGTTCAACTCAACTTTTCAGCACAGTACATGAACAGTACGTGATTGTCGTTTGGGGACATTTCATTGGCATTGCTAACTCTACAATAAAGCAAACAATGTATTTTTACACCTAGGTGACAAACCGTGTCTGGTAGGCATGTCAATGGGAGGCATATCAATGTGAATGTTTCACAGATACAGAAAATATTAATCTATTTTTAAATACTTAGCCTATTAATCTTGATTTTTAAAAGCATACTTTTATTCTCATGATGTTCTTGTACTTTGCGCTGCAACCGCGTCTATGGTTGGAACTCTGCAGTTTCCCTATTGTGGGATGCACAAAGATTCTCTTGTCCTCACGACCTACCTGAGGTAATTTGAGGAGATAGAGCCTATTTGGCTATATCCATTTTAACTGAAGAGTGGCCTGTTGTGGTGTCGTATGAGTGGCTCTTTCTTTATAATAGGTGCAGTTTTCTGTTCTGTCTGCTGGGGCGCTGTTTCTACAGGATGCCATATAAGTTTGCCCAGGTTTGTCCACTGTATGCAGCCATACTAGGCTTCTTCTCTGTTAAGTTTCGACAATAGGCTGCCTGAATATACTACTGGATACCTTTGACAAAGATAGCTAGTATTTTATTTATGGAGAGAGGTGTGTGGGTTTCATGTTAGAGTCTGAAAAGGCTGATTGGGCTGCTGTCAAGACACTTGAGACATATTTTTAATTTTATTACTCTTCTGCATATGTTCAACAATTTAACAAACAGGAATCATGTTAAAACACAATATAACATTAACAGGATGAGGTTTAGCATGTGAAACACTTAAACCATTTATACACAGATAAAGTTTGGCTTTTAACCAATTTGGCAGCAATATTTTTGGGAATAGTGCCAGTAAAGGTTCTCAATGAATGGAGGCAGCTTCACACACACATGAATATTGCCTTCCCCCATACACAAACACTACCACCTCTATGGCTGAACTATCACAATATCCCTGGGTTACAGTGATTCAAGGGCTTATGTCCATTAAATCATGCATTTATGCACTGAGGTAAAGTGAAAAATCTGTCAGAATGGAACAAATGTTTCTTTATTTGATAGAAAATACACTTATGGGCCATATGGCAGTACATGCTGAGCACAGGATCACAGCATTTGATTGGGATCCAGTGTTTACATTTCACCCATTTCAGTGATTAGTTTTGGTATTTTCCTACATTTCATTAAAACAACTATAATATATTGGGTTTGTCCACAAAGCATGTCATAGAATATTGGGAAACTCATTTTTTCATGCATATTCAACTACTGTGTCAAGGAACAGTATGTCAAGTGCTCTTGGCTTTCATCAGGCAGCTGGCAGGTTCAGATGTTTAATATTATGCCATCAAAGCGACAGCGTTGCTAAAGTCCCTAAACGCTCTGGATCAAAATGATATGTCAATCAGGGAAGTGAGCATTCTGACTCAACACTGCTGAGTAAATGTTTCTGCATGTTTTGTTTTCATTTTTGTTTCATTTTCCCAAAGGCATTAACAACACAGGTTTTGGGGATCTTCAGTAAGCCTTTTTGGTCAGTGGCACAGCTGTGCCTGTTTTTTGGTTTAAACATGAGAAAAATCACATATCAACAGTAGTGTTCAGTGTGTTCAGTGTTGTAAATACACAGAATCATTTCTAGTAGATCCAAAGATGCAGTCAAAAAATCTGCAGACTTTTCTCAGATGCACAAACTTCATATTTTCACTGGATTTACTATCTGAGGCAGTGTTAGGAACAGGCTGGATAAGGAGGGATAGCGGCTTCAAGGAAACACAAGGATCACACTTTACAACTGTGAAATCAGGAGGTATGCATGATAATAAACTACACATAATTCTCAAATTATGGCCAGTATTCAGCAGATCAGAACATCATTATGTCTTATTCTTATGCAGTAAATGCAAAGGAGGATTTGAGGAGTGAAGAATCTGATTCTGAAAGAAATTAAATAGCTAACTGCTTAAATAATTCTGTATTTGCAATTGACTGTTTAGTAATTATAGTAAACAACTTTTATCATGTTTGATGTCAATTTTAAGTAATTACTAAACATCATTATACTAACCACTTTGTCTGAGCATATTTGTACTTCAGGTAATATAAACAGTTTAAATGAATGTGTGTTTGCTTTGTATCTGGTTTGAAAGGAGGAGTTTGACTCAAAAGTTACCCAGTGTATTTCTTATGGATGATTGTGTCAGTGGGCCACAATTTGAGAATGTACGCTGTATTTCTCTGTCAATCTCATTCTTATTTCATACTTACATACATAGTTACTTAGTTAATATGTAGGAGGAAGTACAAAATGACAGCAAGAGAAACAGGCCACACACAGGCAGAGAATAAATACTTGAAATTCAAGCCAAACAGTACTAAGTGTCGCCTGAATCCACAGCTAAGACGTGGTGACGAGGAGTTGGGACATGTGCTCTTAATGGTTTAACCCTGAATGCATATGGCAGTTTTGGAGAAGTTTGTCTCATTTGTCTCATATAGACTATGGCTTAAGCCCTAGTCAAGCAGGAGGGCATCCAGTTAAAAAAAATAGATCCTGCATCATCCATTGTTCATATTTCTTTTCAGTCTTCTCACCTGACGCAAACATGCTTAAAATCTTAGAAAAATAGAAATCAAGAAACATTACAAAAATAAACAAAAACAACTTAATCCACATGACAGTAAAGACCCACTGATATTGCACAGCAACATGTCTTCTTTGATATGACACCATTTAATTGATAAGAACACATCTGATACCAAATAGATCCTAAATCACTTGTCTTAGTTTCCCCCCCGAATGATGAGAGCAACATTATCCTTTCAAATCAGGCAGAGATCAATGATAATGGTATCGAGTGTGTCCAATGTGAGACTGATGATTTGCTTCAAGGCACAGAGTTGCAAAAGGAATTGGGTGGACTTCATTGGTGGAGAGCAGCAGCAGAGTGTCCTGGAGATGAGGGCTCCTGTTGGAAGGGCTTCAACTCTCTGTGAACACAAGTCAGGAAAAGTGGAGCATTAAAACAATGTTAATTTTATCACATAGACCAATTCTAATGATGCCATTGTTATTGTGTTCAATTATGTTTCTGCTACTCTTTGTGTGTAGGTCTGGACAGTGGATACCGAACTTGGGGTTGAGCATGTGAGATAGTACATTTCAGTGCGAAAAGCTCCTTTTTTCACCTGTAATCATGAATGCCTCAGCATGTTACAGACATGTGATAAGTGAATTATTAATGTCAAAACAGTACAGTATTTGTCAAGTAGCATACTTTACATGGCAGCTCCTTTGTGTAGTATAGTAACAGGAGTATGCCATGTCTCTGATGCACACAGCGTCTATATGTGACCCTAGGCTGCCCACCCCCACAGCATCTTCCTCGAAGTTAATCCCGCCCACAGCGGCAGATGGTGCTGCAAGCATGTTCCCTCAACTGCTCCTGTAGTTATGAATGATTGCGAGGTCTTAAGCATTAAGTTGGATCAGTGTAATCCAGCACAGCATATGCAACAGCCCACAAGGCCACATTTAGCAGCATTTAGGAGAACCTCACTTTCTCCATCACCAAAAGCGTCAAACACAACCAGAAGGACTTAGCTCCACTCAAAACATCCATCTTACAATGATTCAACCATTCAGAGGTAGTTTAGGAATTTTAATAACAGAAAATATGCATATTTATGCTTGTTGATGATTCTCAAATTACCAGAATTTCCTTGCAATAATAAAGTGAAATTATTGGAGGTGTAGCTCTATTTATGTGAATATCACATTTTGAATATTAGAATAAAGTGGTCTTTGGGGCAAGCCAAAGACCACTTTATTCTAGCCTTTAGTCTATGTTTTTTTCTGAATGAACTACTCAATCAACAATGATCCCCTGATGACTGGGTCTCAGTCTTTAAAGGATCTTTGCAGAGCCAGACCATTAGGGGACGATAGTGTAGAGTGCTTTTCCACATGTTGTACATTTCTTTCCATTCTCCTCCAAGAGTTAACTAGTTTATATATATATATATATATATATATATATATATATATATATATATATATATATATATATATATATATATATATATATATATTTTTTTTTTATTTTATTTATTTTTTTATAGTTTTAAACTGTACCATGTAGTTTGATTACTACAAGGCACAGTTGAAACATTTATTTTTATCTCACAGTCTTGACATATAATTAATTCTTCTTCAAACTTTGCACAAAAGTACGCTAGCACAAAAGCCACACAAAGAATTGGGTAACTGCGGGAGCGATAACATAAGTGGCGCAACAGTACTTTTGAAATCCTACAGACCTTTTGAGCTGAACAATATATGGCTGACAGTATAGTTATTATCCATTGTACACCATTGATCTTCTTTTAATAGGTTAAGTCTTCCAAGAAGGGAACATCAATTAGATCTACTGTGGCTGATATTGTGAATAGGCACTAGGAGGTGCTGCAGGATGCACATGGATATCTGTGTGGGAGACTCTTTGCTAGAGCTGTCCATGTCTCTTCTTATTTGTTTACTTTAATACTACTTTAATACTACTTACCCTCCTGCACATCTTTACTTCTTGAGAGATCATGACATCAATTCTGAAAAGACTATGTAGGTCTCAGTTTTATTACCTACAAAGAGGTTAGGACTTGCACATAGGCTGGCTGACCTTTTGTTATACATTTAGATGAAACTATGACATTTGGGTGCTCTTTCACTCTAGCAGTCTCATCCCCTCTGGACTATTTTAAGCATAAATGTGTTGCATTGAGTGCTGCAAAGCAGATTAAAGGCAGAGTCATATGTAGTTATACATTATTGAGACTCACTACTGCTGAGTTAAAAGATAACACTTATAGCTAACTTGTAATTTTGTTTTTGTTTCCAGTATATCTTTTTTCAGAGAGCCTTGGTTATTGGC